GTGAATTTGTGAAGCTGAACACAATTTTATGCATTGATGACCGATAAGAACATTGTTAGCCATGAAAACTGCAGCAGACCGACAATTTTACTTCCATTTCTAAAAAATTGACCAAGAATCCCGATTTGTCGACGATTTCTCCCCATTTTGGACCACTGTGCGACCAAAATTTTTGAAACTGAACACAGTTTAATGCTTGGGGGCCCAATGAGAACATTTACAGCCGAAACCCATCAAAGGTGTAACTTTTTCGTCCATTTTTCTCGTCTTTTTGCTGTAGAAATGCTGTCCAGAATGATGGCGATTTGGCAACTTTGCCCCCTCATTTCTCAAAAACCGTGCGTATACTCAAGCTAAAATTTTAACCAGAGTTTTAGGGTATCGTAAGGTATCGTTTGGGCCCGGTTTCAGAAAAATCCCTTCTGGCCCAAATTGTGCCATTCTTGGCGTCGCTCTTTTCACTGCTTTCGCCCTTTTCTTTTGTTGTTTTTAAAGAGTCTTCTACCATATGCATGAAAAGGCATTGTTTGTTAGAGCTATTTTGCATACTTTTATTTGAATATACAAACATTTTGCTTCGCTCATACCTTACTATAAACAAGATTTTGCTCTCAATCCTTTATTGTTATTCAATTATGTGTTTGCCCAAGGTACACTCTACTACAGGTATGGACTAACAGGGTGCCCAAGTGGCAGCTCTGAAAATCTAGGCCATCGAGTGATGTCGCAAGTCGTACCGTCTTTGCTGCGCAGTTCAAAGTGAGGTTCTGGCAGATCCTGGTAGTTTCAATGAGCTATCAGATGAATTTAAAAAATTGATAAAACTCACAATAACGAAAACCTTAACTAAGAAGACAAAATTGACAAGACCCACTCTCAGAACAGAAAATAAACTAGTTTTCAATATGGCGTCGCAGTTGTACCATTGGACGCTGTCAAATCTACACGTTTTGACGATTTTCTAAAATTCCATTTGTCCCTACCTGTAGTAGAGTGTATATTGGTTTTTACCCCTAAAAGCAATGTTTTCCATGTATTGTATTCTCAATTGTTATGTGTCAATTAATCATATTTTTTCTTTTCTCAGAGAATAACCAAGAACTTGCTGCAAAATTTGTAAAAGCTTTAAAGAAGGGGAACAATCAACCCTCCGCCCAGCAGTTTTTGAAATGTTTTAAAACTCTCCTTAATTCGATGTCCAGCAAAGATAACTCCTTCAACTTCATTCAAAAGGCTGCTGGTACGTTCCGTGTATTAAAAGATACCTTTGTCCTGATTTTTCTTTTGAAGCTGTCATCATGCTGGGTGCTTTCTTTTCAAGGCTTGTAACTCTGTCTCCATCTCCTATTCTTTAATGATGATTTCAACCTCGGTGAAACTAGTGCAAAGAGTATATAGGGAAAGACAAGACATCATTAAACTTGAGTCGCTGTGACTTCTTAAAGTTATCGTATCTCCAAAACATTCGTAGAAACGGTTATTACTGATACTTTCTGACATGTGTATGTTAGCTGGTAGCTCAGTGAAACTGTCACTAAGATTACCGTAAGAAGAATTTTGAAAACAGAGTTACTTGCTCTCAAAACTGATCTACACAGTTCAATCATTCCCTCGGACGAGTTTTGAAATTGATAGACAAAGAAGACAAAAAGGATCTGAAGAGATTCTATTAGTGAAAGCGGGTGGTTGCAATGGACAGAGAAGGTAGATAATAAAATAACTAATGACAACCCTCGAGAGACCCTATAGTCATTCCATCATTTTCTCCCTTAGTCTATAGGAACCAACCATTTCAACCAATAGGATTGCTCCGTACTCCCCACGTCTTCTGTGTCTATCAATTTCAACAATCAGCTCGCTGTGAATTGGTGGCGGGAAGTTGAAATGCCATCTATCTCATATGAAGAACATCAAGCTACTTCATACTGGCTGTAGTAGAGTGAACTCCAGCAGAGGAGGGGAATACCTTGTGTTTTAGTGATTATTTTGCTTTTGAAAAAAGATAATAGTCTATCGTTGAAAAAGTGTCGTCTAGTCAGTCCAGAGAACAAGTTCATGTTCTGCATGAAAAATGTTGAAGCTGCTATACTCTTCCGTATTCATGAATTTTCCAGACCATTGATTTCTCATCCAACTTAACTCTCCGTTTTACAGGTTTAGCTGCTCATGTGATTGCCTCGGAAGAAAATTTGCTCAAACTGAATAACATTGCTGATCTTTCAGAGAACGGCAAATACTACCCCCTGTGCATCCTCACACTCCAGGTCTTGAGCAAAATCGTTGGAAAACCGAAACTAACTCAGCTTTTCAAAGAGAGCAAAGTAAGGAACCAATCGATTCCTTTTTATTGGTGTTGATCATTTCCCATTTTTCCATCACGTTCGCTTTCCCTGCCTGCTGCTAAAGCATTTATAATGCCAAATGTTTGTCTATACCAGCCACATTTGTGTATCAAAGCACTGAAAACATCTTGAAATCTGATTCTGTGTTGACTTTGGTAGGGTGGCTAGCAACTATGAGAAGTCGGGTAATGCATCTCGACTGGGAAAAGGCAGAGAATTTTTTGTGGAGCCAGGTTCCTTGCAAAAATCAGGTCTGAGAAGGAGCAGGCTTATCGGGTTGTTGTGTCAGTTTTTAGACCACATTGATTAACCCTTTCCGGTCCAATGTCGGATATATTCGCCGTGAAAAATAACGCGTTTAGGTCCGATGTCGGATATAGTCGCCCAAAAGTTTGAACTTCTGTGCAGGCCCGATGTCGGGTATATTCGACTGCTCCAGCAAGTGGCGGCCTCTGGTGGAGCCTTTGGAAACCACTGTCTTTGTTGACAACATCGCTGCTACCTTAACCTCACTTAACGACGGCCGTGGAAAACTGCCGCGGACCGGAAAGGGTTAAGAGCCCTTGCGTTATCGTTGAAAAGTCAGGGAATGATAAAGTGGAATTTCACTAGCCACCCTGAAAAAGATCTGAATTCCTGAACGTAGCATCACAACTTCCATTAAAGTGAAAGTGTTAAATTAGTGCAGGTTCCTAACCTAAAGTTACAGTAACGAATTTAAACATCGACAGTAACCAATTTAAACATCTACAGTAATAGTTGCAGTTTTTCTCTTTTCAAAAGCACGTCATTCAAGACTACTTCAAGTAATCAAACCTCTCAAGGTATATAAATTCCAGCAGGAAATTCATTCTTCATTTCCATTCATTTATTTCCATTGTTCTCTTTTTTCTCTTTTCAGATCAATTTGCTTAACACACTGCCAGAAGCTGATCGCACGAAAGAAAGGCTGGGGGAAATTCTGGATGAACATGAATTGACATACTTGATTCCACTGTTGCGTATCCAAGCTGAACTTTGGAAACAAGTTCAGGCAGATCCAAACCCAGCGCAGCTTTACAAGTGGATCAAGGAGAGCTTAGATCCAGCCCATCATTCGGATCCTGGATTCATTAATGCTTTAGTCACCGTTTTAGTTAAATATATCACGGTAAGTTCTTCCTGTTTTATCACTCCTCATTCATTTGCCTTTTTAAGGTTTTTTTCCTTCAGTGGAAAGCGATCATGAATTTTGGTCGAAAGTGAGGGAAGGTCGATTGAAGTTTGGGGGTAGACCAATCAAATCTCGGAAAAGGTATGGAACTTTCTAAAACCTTGAGGGAAAATGCCAACTTTTTGACTATTTGTGCCAATGGCTCTCTTCAATTAATTCACCCCGGCACACTAAGGTATCTTACCCTGTGATCATATAAGAGGTTAGGAGGACTAGGCTCACATGTGCAGTTTTTGGAAAAATTGAGATATTAATTATTACAAGTAAAATTAGTCTTGATGCATAATCTTTGAAAAATTAGTTCCCAAATTCCAATTTTCAAGCATCAAAAAGTCAGTTGAAATTTCTTCTCTGCCATAAGGATCCATGTAATTTTGAAACTTCAAACTCGTATTTCGTGAAATTGCACAAACTGCACTCGTGCACCTTGTCCTCCAAGCCCTCCATTTTCGGAAACTTTTTTCTCAACAATTTTTTTTCCCTATGTAGGAATCCATCTCAGCAGAAGGATTGGACTCAAATCAAGTTCCTGACAAAGTGGCACAAGATAAAGAAAAGCAGCTCCTAGAAAAATTTAAACCCATTTTGCAGGCTTTTCTTCATGAACGTGTTGATTTGCAGGTCATAGCTGTTTACGCTTTGCAAGTTCATTGTCACAGCCATGATTTCCCAAAAGGTAATTGGTTTCTTTTTTCCTTGTTCTCTTAGAAATCAAGCTAATTTTATTGGTACTCAGTAGTGTCTCTATCAGCGAGTGAATTCTCTTGGGTGAGGTACTACAAGTTTATGCTGGAAATACTACCTTATGCTGTTGAAATTTACTGTCTACTTTGTGAACGTCCCTCCCAATAACAGTTTCTTGAGAAGAAATATCTCGGACAGCAATTCCTGGACAGTTTTCACATTAATCACTCATCTCCGTTTATTTCAATAATTCGTTTTTAATTTATTTCTACAAGTTCGAGGCTTAGAGGTGTGATAATTCAAGAAGTAAAGCCCCCAAAAACATTGTTGCAGCATCTGTGAATGTGTGATGGGTCAACTGGCAGTTCATGCCTGCAAAGTTAAAAATCCTTGTAAAGGCTAACTAGCTTTTTTTCTCCTTTTTAAAGATAGTGTGGACCTGAAGCAAAAATAAAAAAAAAATTAGTCAAAAAAGACAACAGCGTTGATTTGTGTATTAAAAAACAATTGCGCCTTCCTTAAGAAAAATAAAAAAGTTAACCCTTGAAAAGAAATTTTTCAAAAGAGTGATCACTCTCAAATTAGGATTGAAAAGCCAAATTCAATTTTGTGACAAAGAACACCCTCTTCTGTCTTGAAGAATGTATCGTAAAGTTATAAAAAGCATTGCATTTGTGATAATGATGAAACAAAAAAAATGTCAACGATGGTAACCATACATAACATATTTTGATTGAAAGTTCTATTTTTAAGAGACCTATGTCATACTCTCAACATTACATATTAATATGTATTTAGCCCGTTTCAGACAATCAAAGTTGAGCTCACAAAGTGGCGTGACGCATGGTAACGTGACCCCCTGTGATGCCACTTCGAGAGCTCTACCTTGATTGTATGATACAGGCTTTTTGCATCTAGCAGCTGAACTAGCATGCATCTCAATTTAGAATTTACAAAATTATGCACTCCTCTTGCTAAATTGCAAAAATCCTTTCTCAGGTTTGCCACTGTCAGGGATTATCAGGAAATGTCAGGGAATCTTATATAGACAGGGAAATCCTGGAAATGTCAGGGAAATATTGTCGAGTCACCTATATTTGCTTTCCAGAATAGGTTTGACATTTGAAATATCCAATTTTGCCAGAGAACTACCTCTAATCATGTATTTTTAACTATTTGGCACCTTTTCAACTGTCAGGAAATTTCACTAAAATATGTCAGGGATTTTAATTCGCTAAATTCTATGGCAACCCTGCTTTCTGCTTTACATGAGCGAAATCCAGTCAAGTCTCCGGCCAAACGAAGTCGAACCCCATGCATGTTCAGCAAAGATTTCATGAGGAGTGTTACATTTTCAGTCTCTCCTTAGTAGCCGAGTGTTTTAATTGTTCTTAATCAAACTTACTCATATCTTTCAGGGATGCTTCTACGATGGTTTAACAATTTTTATAACTTTGAGATTGTGGAGGAAGAAGCATTTTTGAAATGGAGAGAAGATGATGTTTCGGATGTCTACCCTGGCAAAGGCAAAGCATTGTTCCAGGTAAATTCATCCTACTTCCTCAAAAAATATTTTTTTACCGGTGTCAAAGAAACGCATCAGGAGCTGTGAGCACATTTTCGTTGATGATCGGTTGAACCTAAATGGGTGGATCATGCGGTTTTGTATTTTCATTTGACTCGATCACAATTTTTCTGAACAATATCAGGACTCACCAGATGGATAGGAGATGGAATTCTTGCAAACGTTGGAGCCAAAATATAATCCTACAAAAATTAGGGTTTAGAAATGACCTGATGAAGATGATGGCATCCAACCAGTATCAATTTCCAAAGTCTAACCCCAACTATTGACCAATTCGATTATGATCTCGTCGCCATTATCGCGGCATTTTGGCTCGATCGATCATCAACAAAAATACACTTTCTATGACAAATCAATTTACTTATCGCTCAAGAACTTTTAATCTCTCTTTTTTTGGCTGTTTAAATCAGTAAGTAAGTAATCAGGAGAAATCTTGCTTGACCAATCCTCTTCCTCCATTTCTTTTTAATTCAAGATCATGGGTCAGTTGCGTTGGTCACAGAATCGTGTTTTAAAGTTTGATTCTTGTGGATCTGCTAAAAATAATAAGATCCGTCCAAACAGCAACTTTCTACGTTCAATATTAACCGAGATATTGCGTTTTGAAAAATTTGCCCATGATGCCATCCACCGCGACAGTGTCATCCTTGGTTTCCTCCACCTCACTTTTATTTATCCGGGAGACACATTTGCACCGGTTGCTCAACGTGAAACTCAGATAAAAGCAAGGTGGAAGAAACCAAAGGTGTCACTACCGCAGTAGATGACGTCATAAACTGTAATTTTTCAAAACGTGATATCTCTGTTAATATTGAACGTAGAAAGTTGCTATTTGGACCAATCCTATTATTTTTAGCTGACTTATAAAAATTAAGCATCAAAACGCGATTCTGTGATCAGTGCAACTGACCCATTGCAAATAAACCAAGATACAACAAAATTTAGACCCTAACATCGAGTCTTGTAAAGAAATTTAACTTCAAACCTCTCTTTCTTGGTTCAGACTTGATGCACAGTGGTGTGTGTCTGTCAAACTCAGCTCCAATCCTATTATTTTTAGCTAAATTTAAAAAAATTATAAAAATAAAAATTGCTTATGAAAATTGAGCATCAAAACAAGATTCTGTGATCAGCGCAACTGACCCATTGTAAATGAAGCGAGATACAAAGAAAATTAGTCCCTAACATTGAATCTTGTAAAGAAATTGAACTTCAAACCTCTCTTTTTTGGTTCAGACTCTATGCAAAGTGTGTCTGTCAAACTCACCCCAAATAAGAATACGTTTAACAGAATGTAAGTGGAAATCCAAAGTTGCGCAACCTTGATAGCAACGCGTGTCTCTTCATATTTTATTCCTCTTCTTTAACTCCGTTTTTCTTGTTGATCAGGTGAATAATTGGCTGACCTGGCTTGCTGAGGCCGAAGAAGAAGAAGAGGAAGAAGAGGAGGAAGAAGAAGATGAAGAAGAAGAACCAGTCGAAGAAATCAAGAACTAAATCATCTTTAAATCATTAAAGCACCAAGAGTTCATCCTCTCTTCAAGATCAGAATATCCTAGTCTCAATCGATAGTTACAGAGCCGTTTAAAAATTTCTCAGCTAACATTCTCCCTCGTCGATTTGTCACTCTGCGTTTCAAAGTGTTCAGCACATTCGCCAATTTTATATTCATCTATTGCCTTTGTTTCTCGATAAGACTTGCTCTGTACCTCATTTCTTTGTTGTTTGATAAATTGAGCTTTCGGTTTTCACCACCAAATGTGTGAATCATTGAATTTTCCGCGAAACATGTCTTTCATGTAACTTTTATCTTTATTGATTAGATCTGTGCTCATCCTAATCAGGCGAAAGGTTCCATCAGAACATCGTCTACATCTTAATAATGATTTCAATTTTATTCCTTTAAAATCATAATAAAATCAGTTATTGCATTAAATTGCACCCTACGCTATGTCGAAGATCGTGTGAATCAAGGGAATAATCTGAATCCCAACTAATGCAAGTAAAAATTAATATCTAAGCAACCTCTTCTCAATAATAATGAAAAATAAAAAAATAACCAATAAAAAAATTTTCATAAACACTTTTGGAATTATAAACGGATCCTAGTTTATTTTTCCAAAAATAAGTGTCAGTTAATGTATGATTCAGTCTTATATTTGTTGATTTCAATTTGATAAAGGTCAGTGTGCGAGTTGTAATATACTTCTTTTTTGACCTTTCAGACTTTGTGTTTTCTACAAACTTGCATTATTATTAAGTCCATTTGAAAAGTTAAGAATTAAATTCCAAGCTGATCAAGCCCCTCCAAATACTGCAAGATCCATTTTATGAGATTTTGTCTACAAATTGACTTTGTTTCTCTAGTAACGCACCTGCAATCTAAATATACATTGGTTTCGTGCTGTTTCTATTTGAAAATCTTATGTGTACCATGTGAAGATGAGAATCACTACCTTAGTAGTTCGCAGGATGCCTGAAAACTAATCTACGATTCAGTTTCAGATCAGATAAGAATAAGAATAGTAACTATATCAACTGTCAAAACATTAATATATTGTTGATTTTTTAGTGAGTACCTGGACGGGCAGTTGTTTGATCAACTTTTCTCTTTAATGGTTCCATTATTGTGCCCTCCAACATTAAGGGACAGTAAGCTTTATCTTCAATATACCATCTCGGATACTTTTTTCTTAACCGCTCAATTCAGTCGATCCATTTAATTGTAAGGTAGAATTAGGATTCTTTTTAACTGATTTTTCATCTGTCTGCTAGTAACTTCTTTAGGTCCAAGGTTGATGAATAAACACTGCAATATGCACGTCTACTGATTTTCCCTGCTCACATGTTTCTTTCGCGTTAACATGTATAGAAATGAGGGGAAATTCGGTCTGCATGTTTTCTTTGTCAGCGCACACTAAACTTCGATAAACCTTTTTCATCTATGATCTGAAGTTGAAACCAACATAGATTTGAGGCAATTCATTAATGACGTGTGTAGTTGTTTTCATGATCAAATGGAATTATCGTAAAAATATTCTATTCTGCTCTTTTCTCATCTCTCGCTTAATGATCTACGAATTTGTTTTCCTTTTTTTCTTTTTTATCGATTCGAATTAATCACTCTTAACTTTAAGTAAAGATCATTCACAATTCAACAGAGTTATGGTACCTCACTAGTCTCAGCAACTCAATAAGTTTTTGATTGGCAACACTGAAAAATGCTTAAAACATTCCTAATTTTTTAGATTTTCTCGCTCGTTTTGCCCTTTATTCATTGCTTTCAGCCCAGCTGGTATCCATGTTTTGGATTCACGATTTTCACCTCTAAATTACCATACTGAATTCACTATCCATTATCGAACTTTTATGAAACGATAGTATCCCTCTTCACCCCGATTAAATTATTGAAGGTGAACTTGAAGCGTCTCAGAAAATATCTGTCAGATATTTCAATGAATGTTTTTTGTTGGAACCAGCAAATGTTATTGATTTCTGATTTGCTTTCTATAATAAGTGACTGAGTAATTGAATCGAGTAAATTTTTTCAGGGTAAACTAGTCTTTGTCTGTTCTTCCAAACATGTCCTTGCTTTAATTAATTTGATCATCTTTCATTTACCTTCATGTCCATTGCTAACGTGGAATATGAAAGGCTAATTCTCGTTTTAAATCGCAACCAAAAGAATGATTTTAAAATTGAAAATAAGTTCTCTTTTTTTCTCATATTACTTTTAAAATGTGTGCATTCCTATTACTAAAAAAATTGTGTATTTGCTGCCAATCATGTGACCTCCTAGGTCACTGAAGGGGGTTTCCTTGTCCTCCCTTGATGTGGTCTTTTACGCCAGGAAATACTCCGAATTGTTTCCAATTTATTCTCAATTCAATTTTGAACCAATTTTTAATTCTGAACTACCCTGAGTTGTGAACAAAATTCCATAAATGTGAGCTAAACTATAATTAATTTCTGATTATTCCTTGTGTAAATTTGACAATGCAATTCTCTAAGGCCTCACAGAAATTCGCTGTTGTTAATCAGGAATACAAATGGTGTGCTTTAACTCACTACATGTACAACGTGGTATTTTTAATTTCTCTAGTACTGAAATGGGAATGCATCAATTACCAAATCGCCTGGTATCATAGTCTTAAAGATTGCTCAGCTATTAGGTACGCATGACTGAAGTATTCTTCAATGAGAATGATAAGTTAAATTTTAATAATCTTAAAAGAAAATGAGACCAGTAAGCAAGTGAATCAAACAGTATGTATCTCAACATTTGGTTGAACAAATCAATCAATCAGGGCTGTGTTTGCTCATATAAAAGGTCTACTTGTGAGGTCGTTTTACAGCTCTCAGTCTTCGACGTTCTCAACCCATCTGTTGGAGAACAGTGGAAGAAATACAAGTTGTCAATTGCATTCTGTAGACAATTTTAATTTAAAACGGAACGTTCATTCATGAAAATTTAAGTTTAAACAAGTACATGGTTACTGTAAGAAAGTACATATGTTATTTCTTAATTTTTGGACTCCAATGAATTTTTCTCTTTTCCTAACTGTCAAGTTCCTCCATTTCTTTTTTACTTATTTCCATTTTTTGTAAGATTTATATGTGAAAATATCTACGTGCAGAATGCAGATGACAGACTTATCTGCCAAATATGTCTTTAATTATTATCATGTGCAATGGTGTCACTGAAGTGAGGCACTGCCAACGTCAGTGGCATTACCCTCTCCAATCCTTTAATAATTAATTGAAGTTTCAGTATCAGACGTATTATGAAAGTTTGTTATTAAGTCAAATCTGTGCAGTTAATCTGAAATTGGATGGAATTTTTAAAATATATAATTTATACAATACAAACATTTCTTTGTTTGCTTTCTGTTTCAACATCATCAAAAATTCATGTGAGATATGAGTCAAGATAGGAAAATATCTCAACTTTTATCCAGAATGTTTTGAATGCTTATGTCATTACTGTGTTGAGTCAAAAGGTTGCAATTTCTTACCTGAAAATTTGTCTATTGTTTGTCCAAAACGCAAGCATGCAGAACATAGCGCTTACTTCTGTCTTGCTTAGCAGGTAATGACGAACAAATCATTTTTGAGAATCTTTCAGACGATAATTGACAATTCACAAAGAACAGAAGATTCATTCAATACAATTTTCCGCTTGAACATCACTAGGTCCATTTTCTCAAAACTTAATTTTTTTACTTGCTGTTTCCTTTGATAACACGGCAGTGATCTTTTTTTTTTCAATACAGATCTCAACACTTAGGTCATCTTCATCATAAGGTGAAACTGAGTTTTACCTTTCAAAAAAAAGTTTTACACTGAATGGTAGATATTAGTGCGGAGTCTCCTTTCTTAATACTGATTGTCTTCTGATACAATGGTGCCTTTATTAGATTAATTCTAATCTGATAATCTGCGGTGTTAAGGTGCTCAATCCCCCAAGATTTGTGGTTTGAAAGAGAGCAGTGGAGGTTAGGAGTCGTAGAGCGCGAGGGAGTGCTGTAAAGCGACTTATATGTATGTATAATCTGCGGAACTTTGTGAGCCTAGCATGGCGGCTGACGTTTGAGGCCAAAAGTGAGGCACTGGATGCAAAAAGAGCACTCCTCAGTTGCAGTGTTTCAGAGTCTCCTCTAATATTTCATTCGTTGTAAGGAAAGTGAATTAATCCATTTTACTAAGAATTTTACTGAATATTCCTCATGATTTTACAATTTTTTATGAAGAGAATTCTGGAAAAATCACTCATGAAATTCTTCTCCAAGGGATTGATGAGCAACAGAGATTCTGAAACACTGCAATCGAGAAGTGCCCTTTTTGCATCCAGTGTCTCAATTATTCTCTCCAAAGATAACTTGTCCCTTTTGGATCAGTAACTGAACACACAAGCACAGTAAAAAAATCAACTTTATTAAAATTTTCAACTGACAACATGAAAAAAGTACATGGAAACTATTTACTGTGAGCTAAATTGAATATTTCTCTGTTACCAGAATTTAAAAAGTCAGACATAGCAAAAAATAAAATTAACAAAGAAATTCTCACTATTAATTACCTAAATTAAGGCTCATTCTAACTCCAATGTTTGGCTTTAAGGTGGCAGTACATATTCTGAAAAAATAACAGCACACAGTTTCTGTGCACTGAGAAAGGATAATTCCTGAAAATTCAGGTAACCCTGACCAAGATAATCAAGATTCCCTGACCCTCTCAGTCAAGAATCTGCTAAGATTCATTAATAATGGAGAAATTTTGACCACAAATCATTCACAGTTTTTAGGTTCATGCACATAGGAGTAAAAATACGCTTATAATTAAGTATTCTTGATAATAAATAAAATTTTTGTTTCTAGTGTCGTAAAAACTATAAGCAAAAGTATTAGAAACATGGAGAAACAATTTGTCATTCCTATAAAATTTCCTGATTATTCTTTAATACAGTATAATGCCTTCAATTTTCTAGACTTTCCTAGCCCTGTGAACACCTTTGTATATTCCAAAGAGACCTCTTTCAGGTCAAACATAGTGGCATACACAAAAAATGAAGTGGTCAGAATACATACGGAACTAATTTTGTGGCATGATTTTTGCTTGTCATTTTCATTCTAAAAATATGATGAGAATTAATTATTTTAAGTGATGAAAAAGATCTTGAATCCTCATTGAACGATGACTCTCGCAAATATCATCCAGTTGCTTCAGCTGCAACTTTTTTCGGCTTGTGTGCTACCTCTGATGTGCCCATATCCTCAACTTGATTTCCTTTGAGACAAACAAAAGAACTGATTTAGAGAACAACTAGGAAAAATCTTTCACTTCTATTTTCATCAGAAAGCAGGGTGCAATTTGTTCCAGGCTTTTGCTTTTTTCTGTAGCAGGTTTGGTTTATGCAAAAAGGTCAACGCGATATGCTCACTAAAGTATTATTACATTATTTGAACGCACTGCGTCTCTAGAAAGGGGTAAAATGGGTAGCAACTATTAGCATTTCAATCCAGGAATGGATGTATGCCAAAACAATATGGTTTCGCGATAGGCAAAAACCACCAATCAAAGGAGAGAGGGATGAGAGAGCTTTATCAGCCTCCGAAGTCAATTTTCGAGGCATCCACAATTTGGTTTCAACCTCGCGATTTAGAACAATTTTCACTTCTATCACTATCAGATATTTATCTAGGATTTTTTTGACGCCCATTGTAGGACAATTTTTTATAAGTTCAGAGTGTTTTTAATAGTAACAGAAGAATATGGATACCTACAAAAAATTATCTAAAGGCTAACATGGCATTAAGAGACAGACAATCTGAGGAGTAACGGAAGGCTAAAATTAATATAATTACCTATTAGAGAAGATGGTAGATGGGTTGGACTATGATCAGGAACTGGCGCTAATTCATCTAGCAAAAGAGCCGCTAATTCAGCCTCATATTCAGCATCTGACGGCGAGTTTATGACTTTAGACAGTGTAGACTCGATTTCGTCATTGTCTTCTAGAGCCTGTGAACAAGAATTGTAATTGGTTTTAAGGAACTTAAACTTTGACAATGAGAACAACTAATGTAAATAGCTAACAAATCACTGCTTCACAACCGTAATATGACGAGCAAAAGTATTATCATTAGCAAGGAGACTATCCGATGAAAAAAATATAACATTATTTCGGACGGTGCTGTCCAAGATCGCTGAAAGTGTGGGTCTTGTAATGCTGAGCTTGCGGCTACTGCTCAATACGAACTAGGACACACAATTTCCCTATAAATTGTGCTATTCCATTGCAATGTGTTCTTAAAACTTAAGCATTTTTTTAAACAACACTTTCAAAAACGGAAAAAAATAGCACTTAATAACATTTGCGGTTGCAGCATAATATTAAGTGAGAGAAAAAATAACTGCTATTACCTGTTCAATTTTGCCCATTGTATCGTCAATTTTATCGATGTTGAGACCAGCTTCTTTAATTTTGGATTCCAACGCGAAGACGCCTTGCTGGTAAGTATCGAACACCTGAAATTAACCCGATAAAATGCTCCGTAAGTGACATAGGAGTAGCAGTTACAGATAAAATGCAACATTGAACACATGCAGGCAGCAAAATCATGAGGAGCTCTAGCAGCTCTTACTTTATAGAAACTCGTCAAAAAAACATCCACATTTTCCAAATTAATAGCTCCGGAACAAGAAAAAAAAAAAAATTTTAAAGAAAAAAGATAAGGGGATGGCAGTTTTCAATTTATTCATACTTTCACGTAGGTGGGTCCAATCTGGTGTCAATATTCTTGCAAAGTCTGGAATTTAAAGTATCAGGGACTGACCATAAAATCCATTGTTGTGGCGTGTTTTAACACAAAATATAATTCTGAACACTTCATGAATTATGACTCTTTTCCGTAAACTACACTACTTTTGAGAAAATCTTTGACAAAAATGTTTGTACCCCAGTGATCCGATATTAAATCCCTAAATCCCCAGATTTGCTCAAACATCCCCAAAAAATCTCTAGATTTTGCAAAAAAACCGCCATTTTTGACGCAGAACCATAACGTCATTCGATATATGTACAGATTTACAATATAGAAATCTGATAGGCTCATTTGAATTTTGCCGCTCTTCGAAAGCAGTGCCAAGCAGTGCTAAAACAGACCAATAAAATGAAAAAATATTAGTTGAGTTTCAATTAATTTTTTTTTTTTTTTTTTTTTACTGTGGAATGTCAAGTATATCGAGTAACGCAATCGATTCTGTTCCGGCTTATTTACAGGGAAAATAGTGTTGCCAATAAGGCTTACAAAATATAGATAAAAAAATATTTTAGCTATGATTGAGGTTAGAAAGTTGTATTCGCTTACTTTCACCTCGTCAAAAACAATCCCTTGATCCCTAGAAATTCCGGAAAATTCCTAGACATGGCATCACTGTTGTACTCACCTGCACCATCAACCTCTTTCCAAAATGTCACAGAGTCCATCTTCTTCTTTTTCTTGAGGAAAGAAAATTGATCTGAACAATAATTTTTATTAACAATCTTACCTGACTGTTAGAATCTACTTCTTTCACTCTGCTCATCAAGCTTTGAATATTTTCCAGTATTAATACTCTTTTCTCGATGGTTTTCTCTAGCTCCATTTTTTTTCTCAGATGCACTTTAGCCTGCAAAAATGACAGTGTTCAAGTATTAAATATCCTCAATGTGAAATTGGAAGTATCAAAATTACGTCCTGCTGGCGAAAATTCAAAAAGGATTTTTGCTTCTTTAAATAGTTAAAAAGCCACTTGTACCGAAACTTTTCAAGAATTATTGCGTAGGTTGTTTCAGCAAAAAATAAGAGGAATTAAAAGGCTGAATTGATTGCGTGTAGAAATAATATTTTGGAAGTCGGGTGATTAATACTTTAATCTGAAGAGAAAGAAAAATTATTGGAAATACTTTTTCACTACCCTACTTCGAATTTTTTTTTTTTTTTTTAGGCTTCTTTGATGATGATGATTATACAAGTAACTTGATTCACAATGAGGCTCTTGGCAAGTACGAATTAAGACACTATGCAAGATGTTTTTTCTTCGAAATTTCACAACAAAAACGAATCCTGCAAAAGGAGTTCTAAACTTTAACTCCAAAACAAGCTACAAGTATTTATAATTAACAACAATGGTTGATTGACAAAAAGAAAAATGACTCATTTAAAGAATCTAACTTTCATTTGATCTGTGTTAAAAATATTTGCTAATATCTCTTCAGGAGTTGATTTCCGAAATTCCCGTTGCGTGATTCGTTTTCTATGTAAGATTTTGAAGAAAATCTATGTGCCATTAATTTCTAGTCTAGACCTTGCCTAGTGGTCTATTATTAGGGACAAGAATTATTTGAGTCACTGATGGTCCGTAACAGTACATTTTCAAGCCTTGAGAAATGTTGTATCCTCTTGTAAACACTAACGGATTTTACAGAAAATTTTGCTCCTGTGAGTTTTTACCCTATGCAATGATAATTACACTTTTAGACTGAATTCCAGAGCACGGCACCTATACAAAAACTAATAATGACCAACAGAACAGTTAAATTGAACTTACTAATTTTCTTAAACCTCTATCAAGGTAACTTTTAGCTTCTTTCACTAAATTTTCTTTTTCCATCTCAAGCTGTTCAATATTCTCTATTAGGAAGCGTTCTTGAGATTGCAGGGTGTATGTTGCCTCCTCCTCCTTTGAAATAGTCAAGCTCTGGCCACCTTTGTCACTTACAAATTTGACTAGAGTTTTGCCATCTAAAACGGTTTTTATTGCTTTACTCTGAAACAAAAGAGAAGTAAAAAATGTCAGAAAGAATAGAACAGAACGTGACCACCAAACAAAAATTCATCCAGTGATTCATACACGATGACTGTAGTTAGACAATGACGAAAGTTGACAAATTTTTTTGGAAATACTTAATTGTAATCAGCAAATGCGCAAGTATTTTCAAACAAAATGATATAATTGTGTCTTAACTGCTGGGAGAGATACGCTATTTTCTTGATAGAATGTAGCCTTACAGTCTTAAAAATTGAGAACCTTCAGGATTCCTATGTATCTCCTTTATTAGGTTCCCTGACTTATTCTGCATTTCTGAACCCCAAAATGTTTGAAATCGCTAACTTTCTCCGAACTTCAAACAAAACCTCCACTTTCTGATTGAAAGTCCAAAATTATTATAAAGTCGAAAATGACATCATAGTCAAGGTTACCCAACGGCTCGTCTGGTACAGCCATGTTAACAGGATGACGGACGAGAGGCTGCAAAGGAGCTACTTGATTGGATTGGATTTGGGTTTCTCCTCAGAGGAGACAAAAGGGATGCCCAATGAAAGGGCGGCCACAGGGGGTTTTAATTGAAATGAGGGAGTGCCAACTCCCTGAGGGGTTGTGGGAGGATCGAGGACTGTGGTGGTTAGGCATCATGAAGCGCCACACAGCTGGTCTTAACGACTTTAAATTTTTTGACGAGTCACAAGCAAAAACTCTTCAGGTTCTTGAAGTAGAGTGTCTACTGAGTCATTTAAGCCAAAAAGAAAAAAATTCTGTCGAGCTCCTGGAAAATAAAGTCGATTTAAAGGTATTTTTGGGCTAAAATAGCCAAATTACCCATAGCAAGGCCCGTCATATTATTTAAAAAATTGTTTTCTTCCTGGGTATAATGCCCAAGTTTCTTAAACATGCATATTTTAAGCCTCCGATTACTTAAACTACCAATTTTGACCATGTGGTAAATTTTGGGGTCCTAAAATGAGCCCTCAGAGCCAAAAATTGCGTACATTTTCGAAAACTTCGGATTTTCAGTTTTTTTTTTTTTTTTTTTAACGTTGTTTTTTCTACAGTCGTCAATGAGTAATTCTGAAGGGCATTTTCGATTACATAATTGACATTTTGACTGTTCAGGTGAGGGGAGGGGGGGCATCAGGCTTTGCTTTGCCATTCTCACAGTTTTTGAAAACGCTTGAAAGTTCCCTATTACATTGGAAGTTCAAAATATCCCTTTTTAATTCATTAATTACTGCTTCTGATATTATGAAATATGCAGCAGGAGTTACTGCCCCTCCCCTTTCTCCTCACTACGAGATGCATGGAAACCTTGATCTTACTGCGCGCGCTACCGGATCCTTGCTTTTCGCGTGATGGCAGTCCGTTGTATAGTAGATCCGGGCATTTGCAGGATAAACTTGCAGCTTAAACATGTCCATTTATATGTAATGCTAAAGACCGCCAAATGTTTTATTGCAAATGCCCGGATCTACTAAACAACGGACTGCCATCACGCGAAAACAAGGATCCGGTAGCGCGCGCAGTAAGATCAAGGTTTCCATGCATCTCGTAGTGGGGAGGAGGGGGGGGCAGTAACTCCTGCTGCATATTTCATAATATCAGAAGCAGTAATTTATGAATTAAAAAGGGATATTTTGGACTTCCAATGTATTAGGGAACTCTCAAGCGTTTTCGTAGCGCGCGCAGTAAGATCAAGGTTTCCATGCATCTCGTAGTGAGGAGAAAGGGGAGGGGCAGTAACTCCTGCTGCATATTTCATAATATCAGAAGCAGTAATTAATGAATTAAAAAGGGATATTTTGAACTTCCAATGTAATAGGGAACTTTCAAGCGTTTTCAAAAACTGTGAGAATGGCAAAGCAAAGCCTGATGCCCCCCCTCCCCTCACCTGAACAGTCAAAATGTCAATTATGTAATCGAAAATGCCCTTCAGAATTACTCATTGAGGACTGTAGAAAAAACAACGTTAAAAAAAAAAAAAAAAAAACCGAAAATCCGAAGTTTTCGAAAATGTACGCAATTTTTGGCTCTGAGGGCTCATTTTAGGACCCCAAAATTTACCACATGGTCAAAATTGGTAGTTTAGGTAATCGGAGGCTTAAAATATGCATGTTTAAGAAACTTGGGCATTATACCCAGGAAGAAAACAATTTTTTAAATAATATGACGGGCCTTGCTATGGGTAATTTGGCTATTTTAGCCCAAAAATACCTTTAAATCGACTTTATTTTCCAGGAGCTCGACAGAATTTTTTTCTTTTTGGCTTAAATGACTCAGTAGACACTCTACTTCAAGAACCTGAAGAGTTTTTGTTTTTGACTCGTCAAAAAATTTAAAGTCGTTAAGACCAGCTGTGGCCAGAGAGCGCTGTAAAAGCGATTATTATGTATGTATTGTAAAGTAGTTTGAAGGTGTATCCCCAACTTATGGAAATTGATTTTTTTGGAACCATAATAGCTAAATTTGAGGACACCAGAGAATTAATATCTCGATGTTGTACGGTTCTGGAAATTCCCAATATTTCCACTGTGTTCAACAAAAAGTTTTAATGAAGCATACCTTTATCAGTCCCTACAATTAAAATTTTAGTTTGTGGATGTTGACTCTACCTGCAGTGATAAGTAGTGAACGATCAAATTGACAATAGTCAAAGAAAATGGTTGCTCATTCTTCATTACATCTTTCAACTCTTCTATGTCGTAGAGATGATCAAATTCGACGGACTTGAGGATATTTTCAGCAAGCACCTAGGAACAAAAGAGGAAATAATCATACTCAGTGAAAAAGAAAGAAAAGGTTGCAATGCTACTGACTGAGATACAAGGGATCTTTATTTCACCAACCGTAAACATGAAAAGAAATGTGCGATACACCTATTTCTAGATTGATAACAATCAAAAACAATATGGAACAGCCACAGAGAATTAAAAGAAAATTGGATACTTTCAATCTTGCTTACCTTCAAAGATGGCAGATGGACAAACTCAGTGTCTTCCTGAACTGTTGAATTGGAGGCAAATACATTAGTTTTTAACTTGGTGAATGCCCATCTTGCAGGACTTTTCACCAAAGAATGCACCGCCCAACCACTCCATGATTGTTCTGGGGGTGTCTCTTGCAAGAATTCATCTACCGACTTTATTTCTTTATTCCTAGAATGGTGTAAAAAAACGAAATGGGAACAAGGTAAGTAAGAGTAAAATTCACAGGTCAAGTTGGTTATACTCTGATGATATTTCAAAACTTGAAAACCTTTTTCACTTGCAAAATTCACCAATCGCCGCCATACTTGATATAAACTTAGGAGTTGTCCATAAAAAATGCTGCAAGGGCAGAAATTTGCATGATTCAAGTGAGACTGGGGAAAGAATCACCTTGATTTTTTTAAATTTATGTTATTGTTTTCAAAGATGTATTGAAAAAGAAAATGACGATTGTTTACGTATCTAAAAATAAGGCAAGTCCAGCAAAACATGACCTAACTTTACGGGGGAAAGGGGAAGCAGTCTTGGATGATGAAAGGAATGAAAGGGTCTGAAGTTGTGGATTTCATAAATTTACATAATTTAAGCATGGCCTCTTAAAGGATAGATCACAAATTTCATGTAAATCTGTAAACCCCTAGCTTAAATTAATTTTATTGGTATTTTAATACCCCAACTTTAAATTTACAATGTTTTGGTGAGATATAGATATGGATAGGTTTTCCAGAAATCCACCTCAGAGAAAAAAGTTCCGTTGTATGAACCGAATGTACGGTGTTCAATATCGGCCGTATTGTTGCAAACCGAGCTATCAATTCGAACAGAAATGATGAAAAAGTTTGGTTGCACGAACCAAGGATATGGTTCCCAGAACCGAGAGAGCGGTTGCATGAACTGAACAATACGACCGATATCGAACACTGTAAATTCGATTCATATGACCGAAGTTTTTTCCTCAGTTTTTTTCAACATTGGAGTTTATTCCAATGTTCCTCTTTTGGCCAATGGACTTCTCCACTTACGCAGCTTCTTACTTATGCATCAATCACAGAATGCATTGCATAAATATCCTATTTTCTGACTACACTATCGCTCCTCAAATTAAGACAAAGAAGCAGGCACATGGTTTCACTCTACTTTACCCAAAATTAAGTGATGAGAAAAATATATGCTGTAACTTACTTCAACAAGTCATCTACAACAAGCGCCAAACAGAGGGGTCTCCGTGTGTCCCGTTGGAAGAAGGTTTGGATATCTTTGATACTGAAGAGTGGGTTTGACTGAAATAAACACCATTTTTCGATCATCTTCTTCCAAAAGTCCAGTTTTGTGTCAAAGTTGAGAGGGTTGACATTGCGATTCCGAAAAGGAGCATACAATGCGTTCATTCGCTCGGCATCAGTCCAAAAATCAGGATACTCAAACGTTCTACTTTTCGCTGGGTCCATTTCCAAATTGAAGAAGGGCTGCTCTGATAAAATGTTAACAGAGACTACATGTCAATTGTAAAACTAGATCTTGAGGTTTGTTCTCTGTGGATGGGAAAAAAGAAAAGCAATTTGAGGAACGATCAGAAATTCAAAAAGTCTCTCATTTTTACAGCAAGTACTAGCGAAAGGTTTAATTAAAAAAAGAGAGAAAAAAATCATTATCATTGATACCCAGAAATAGTTACATTCCAAAAGTAAAAATAAAACAATTTTGCTGGATTTTCCTTTTACTTAGGGTACGTTAGTCCGTCTATTCCAAAGCAGTTTACACGCATCTTCAATCAGTGTCCGACAAAATAAGATCAGAGATATTTCAGTGAGAGACACCATTTTAATAGCATGAATGCCATGGTCCAGCATAGTTATGATAATTCAGTTTCCGTTATAGTGTCATCTTAATTAAAAAGGTCCTAGCTTTCTAAAATCCTATCGCTACTGAAAAACGTGTTCATCTTGCTTCAGAAAATGTACCTATTAAGCTTAAAACCATGAGAGGCAATTGATCACAAGTTAGTAGACATCCAATCGGAATAAACTAGCAAATTTAATGGCAATAAGAGATGCAGTGCAAAAGAAGGATTATGAATGAGGGCTGGAAAAACCATGTCTAAGTAAGATGAACATTACAGAAGGGCAGAAGCCACTTATCAGTTCACCTATATTTTTTTTTCATTTCAAACATTCCTGAAGAGATTATCTCACGCTTAGAGTCCCTAAAAGCCCATCCTCCTTCAGTCCCGAATCAAACCAGCTCCAGGTAACTGTTGTTTCGGGACCGTCAAACTCGGGTCACTATGTGCAATGAGGGAGAGTAATAACCTCATTGCGGAAATTTATCATGATCCTTCTAATCAAGAGATGATGCAAATAAGATAAAGTCGATGAAAAATTTATTAAATGAAAATGTGACAGAGGATTAAAGACCATTTAAAGGTGAATGTTGGTCATTCCATCTCGAACCCATGGTATTTGGTATAATGATAAGGAATATTACCATTAGCACAGCTCTCTTTTAATGTGTGTAGAATGTGAAGCTCAGCGTTGTGCTTAACACTAAAACCGCAGACACAGGCACTGGAGGAAATTGTGTAAATAAGTAGTTAGTGATAAAAAATTAAAAATTGATAGATTGAAACACAACGGAGTGATAATTTCAGTCGTTTCAATGTTGACAGCGCCAAACAAGTAAACAAAGGGTATTTATTGCGTCACGCCTGTAACCTCATTTTCATTGGCTGATCTATATTTCTACGTCACGACTCCTGCCTGATAAATAAAAATCCTAACCTCATCCATTTCATGCGTTTTCTGTTTCCAAACTTTCAAGATTTTCCAATTCTCTCCGGTATTTACTTGGCTTGAATCATTTGAACCCTCTTAGAAACAGAAATTGCATTTACTTACGTCTCAAATTATACTGTAACATTTGATTCAAGTGTCATTTCATGTCATTTCGCTCCTTTGTATTGATGTTGTCTTTTCCAGGATGAACCGAAGTGATTTCACGGGAACTTAGCTTTCATTCGGTCTATTGTCAGTAAGTATTTTTTCCCTCTTCGTTTTATTCATTACTGTAGGTAATGTAGCAAGAGATTGGTATCTCAAGTAGTCACATTTTACATTGTGGACCTGCAGCTACATCTAGAGATGACACTCGAAAGAGAGATTTCTGACTTAATTTAAGTACCTATTATTTAGATCGACTTTTCACTGAATGAGTGCATGCGTGTCACAATGCATGCTATTGAATAGGAATTCAGAATATGACAGTTAGGGATGGATGAATATTGAATTCGAATGTGAATAATCGAAACTTTTCAAAAGCGATTTGAGAATTCATATCTTGCGATTCCGAATACTTTGGAAGCGAATATTCGAATATTTTCGATTATTGCTTCGATTTTTTATTTTTTATGAACCGTGGGAGTTAAATGACACTTTTAACTAAGTAAGACGGTCACAAGATTGATGATAGGGATGGGCGGTTATCGAATTCGAATGCGATTATTTGAGTGTTCGAGATTGCGAGCTTGATGACTTCAAAAGCGAATATTCGAATGTGATGCCATTATCTTAGTGCTGATAATTCGATTATCTAAATATTCGACCATCCCTAATGACAGTCCTCCTTGTCATTCATGAGTTCTTAGAGTTCATGTGCTGCTTACACAATATCTATCTGCCTCTCAACATAAGACAAAATTTCGTGAAGCACTGCAGGAGTTATGTGCAGATGCCATTACTTGATCAAGGTGAAATCATTGAAGTTTCATACCTTATTATTACCTGTACACACTGCAAATGGAGCGTGCACTCATTTTGTTGAACAAAAATTATCTTGAAATAGCAGTTTACGACTGCCTGTGATGCGTTTTTCCTCCTCCTCACCCTATTATTACTACCCACTCACAAAAATTTGAAAATTCATCAGTCGCTATTGTGCATAATCTCACCTAACTTGCAGTCTACTTGTCATTTTTCTAGACCTTGAATTGCCGCTGAAGATGGATCCTGAACCTCCAGCCAAAAAGAAATTTAAAGCCGGGAATTTGAACAGTTTCATTAAATCCTCTCGAAAGACTGCGAACGATTCAAGTAAAGATGAAAGTGAATCCAAGATTCCTAAAAGTCTCTCCCCTCTCAAATGGAAGAAGGTCAAAGCAGACAACTTAGATTTAGACTTCTGCTCTCAATTTTATCTCAAAGAAGAAGCTGATGAGTTAATCAGACGGCTGGAAACAGATATTGAATATTTTACTGGAGATTTAGCCAAAGTTTTTGTGTTTGGAAAATGGCATAATGTACCTCGCAAGCAAGTAAGTGAAAATCTTTTGAGTTTACAGCCACTTGTTTGAATCGGCTCATATGAGAAAAAGAAGAAAAAACTACTTACAGTTGTTTTTCTCTGAGGAGAAGATATTGTCGGAGATTGCACAAGGAAGATTTTCCATACCTGCGCGCACATGAACCTGTGCGCCCAAATCCTTGCCCTTGGTACTTTTTAGGAGGAATTTTAGTTCTCTAAGTAGATACTAGAAATCCTAACCTCCTGAAAAACTTAAAAAAGTCAGAGAATTTTCGGAAACCATACCTAAAATTAATAAAATTTCTGAGAGGCAAGTTGAAAAGTCAGCAAAAGCTAGTATTTAGATGAAAAACTCAATGTAGATATTTTTGTATTCACGAGATGCTTTTACAGTACTCCGGGGCGCTCTACAATCTCAGAGGAATGTGGGCTTTTTTTCTTTTTTAAATAAAATACAAATAAGAAAGAAAGGAATTCATGAAAGAATTTGTTTTGTTTTTCGCACAGTTTACGAGGCTAGAGATTTGCCTCTGAACACTAATCGAATAATAAGTATATATCTAGCTTGATGTTTTTTCTTCCTTTTATACTAATGTTCATCAAGTATAGCTAACAGCCTCTCAATTACGTCCGTGCAAGTAGGGCTGAATTTTTTTAAGAAAATAAATTATTCTCTGTTATAAGAAAATGAGGGTTATAATTTTTGGAATGTTCAGAAAAGTTGATGGCGAGTCATGCCAGCCAGTTGAAATGTGATATTAAGTACCTTTTTTTTTTTCAGGCAACTTTTGGAGAGCCAGGTCTGAGCTACAAATTTTCAGGGATTTCTGCTCCCTCCCGACCTTGGCCAAAAGTATTACTAGAAATTAAGGAAAAGGTTTCAAAAGCCTGCAGTAAGGACTTCAATTTTGTTCTAGTGAACAGGTCAGTAACAACACCCTCAGTGAGATTTCTCAAGAGAAGTAGATTTTTCAATCTTCTCATATGAGACTGCATATTTCATTTCATACGTTGAGAACTCAGACTGCGAGTAGCACCAGACTTTTTAACTTTCTGTCACATTTTTTCTACCCTTAGGAATTTTTGAGTGTAGTTCATCTGAAAAACATGAGTGGAATGCTGCCTTAAAACTGTCTAATCGCTTCCTGAAGGGTTGTATCATTTTTTTGATCACACTGTATTAGAAAGTTAATGTAGGAAATTAACAATCGAAGAAATTTGACTTCTAACTTAAAAAAGTGATTGTTGGGCAGTAATCTGGTTCGAACTATAGGCTTTTTTAACCTTAGCTAAATTACGAAGAAATTTGGGATTGACGCACGAGTCGTTTTTAGATGGAGTGTAGGTGATTTTGCCAACTTCCGTTAAATTTCAGTATGCTTCTGAGATTCTCGTTACAGAAGGAAAAATCTCGCTTGAGTATAATTTTCCCTCTTTTAGAAAAATGATGTTTGGTGCAACACTAATTACGACCAGTCAGGAAGGCAACTGCAGACGCGTTTTGGGTCTAATTGGACCCATCATTAGTGCAGCACAGCTGGGTTCAGCCGTAGCTGGATCGTCTGGAAAATCTATTTTTAACCACCTGAAATATCTATCTTCAAATTAATCTGGAGGTACCTACTTACTTCTGGTGTATCATGAAGTATTTGACCTATAAAAATAAGACACTGAGTCTGACTGTATCATCTTTTTGCAATTATTATCACGCAGCTGTGAAGACATAAAATTATTGAATAGAGTTTTCACTCCTTTTTTTAAATCACAGGTACAATGATGGGAATGATTATATGGCTGAACACAGGGACAATGAGAAAGAGTTGGATCCTCATACGCCAATAGCCTCTCTTTCATTTGGTCAAGCGAGAGATTTCATCTTCACCCATGGAAGCACGAAAAAGAAGGATAAGTCACCCAACAGTACCAAAATACCTCCAGTTAAGTTTGTTCTCAATCATGGAAGTCTTCTCCTTATGAATCATCCTACAAATATTTATTGGTATCATTCTTTACCGCGGAGAAAAACAGCTCCTGGAGTAAGAATTAATTTAACTTTTCGAAAGGTCATCAAGAGCAAATGCTCTTAAAGAACTGCTTTAATAAGCCCGTACAAAAATTATGGAAACTCTTTTATGTCACAGGACTGTAATCGTACCATGACTCTCAAACCAAAATTTCACTCTTCCATTTGCAGTTGTTGCAGATGTCGCTCTTTTTCAGTTAATTTTTACTCTCTCCCCTCTGTAATTGAATTGGTTTGTGATATAACGTCCGTTGTCTAATACAGGGCTTTATAATTGCAGTGGTTTTTTTTTGATGAATAAGATCGATCTCTTTAGTAATCGTTTAATTATATACTCAGGGGATTTTTTATAAAATTATTTTACATTCTTAATGTCTTAAACAATCTTGTTTCTGCAAAATTCAACAAAATCGTCCGCTCAAATTCTGAAACATTATATTGGACATCTCTTATGAAAACTCTTTTATTTTGCAGGGCTCTAACAGAATAGAACATTTTTGCACGAGCCGATTCAATTATTTTTTAATCCTCTCTCAAGTGTGATGGTTACTTGCAAAACTTTGCAGGTTTGAAGGTAATGTTTTGGTGGTGGCTAATGGTTCACGCACTAGTCTGGGGTAAAATTGTCTTTCAGCTCAATTAAGAGAGGGCTCATACATTCATTTGATCAACTCGCCTTTTCATTACTTTTTAATTAATCATGGATGGTATGCATACATACCAATATCAATCAAACACGGTCCTAAAAACTCTTAACAATACTTTATTTTACATAAGAACAACAGTTAACAATAGTCATAATCTGAAAAATATCTCAAAATATATGATACATTTTTAAAACTTAAGTATGTAAAAGTTGTAATTTGTAAAATGAATCACCTCAATGTTGAAACAGTTTGCCTAATATAGTTTTACATTGACGGGAAAAGTTATGAAGACAAAAACTTCATTTCAGCAATTGAAATTGGGTCTATATTTTACTTTATTCTCTATTTATGTTGACATTTTTCAGTCCAAATTCATGTATAAATATTTGCCATGACTTGATTAGTTAAATTATTTGTCAATTCTTTGAGCTTAAATGAAGGCTCGTCATTTCCGTCATCTTTGAATGAGGAGTTTAATTTTACAATAAGCAACTCTTCAGAGCCTGCTCTTGGGAGAAAAGTTAATTACAGTATAAAAGGTAGCTTTAATTATTGGGAGAACAAAAAATGCTCTTATCAGGTTTAATTAAAACCTACAAGATACATATCTGTTCCCATTGTTTTTGCAACTCATAATTTTGGTTTATTCTAACCCAATTATGTATCAAGATATATTGCATCTACAATCAAAGAATGCAGAAATCAAAAATCGGTATGATAAGTGCCGACCAGATTCCCTTTCCTGACTCAAAAATTAAACTATAGGAACAATAACGCAGTATATCACTAATTAGATAATCAAAATTTTGAGTCAGTAGTAATCAATAATTAAGGTTAGTAGCTTTTCAAGTTAGCTCAGAAATGAGCCTCAGATTTATATCATGAGAAATAATGGTAACAAAATTTTACGTTAGATAAAAAGAAACTTTCACTTAACACACACATTTGGAAAAGGAATTAGAAGTGACAACCTTGGAAGGTATTCATTTGCATCTCTGGACAATCTTTCCTAATTTGAATTAATTTGCTTTTATTCTTTCTCAGTTTTTCTTCCACCCATTTTTAAAACTTGATAATTCTTACAATGTGCTGCAAATGAATAAGCACAAAGATCTTTTTCAATAATATCGGCTATAAATTTCTTTACACTTGGTAATTTTTGAAGTTTCAAGATATTTAAGTAAGAATATGGGCAATCCAAAAATTAATTCAGGCATTTTTGCAAATTCTTAAACTCCACTCTCCATTGAAGCTCTTCGTAGTTCATGGCCACGGTTGCATAGAGACAGCGTATTTCAGCATGACTCTGAGCCTAACATTTCCTTTTTCCTATATAGAATCGAATAGATTGGTGCTCAAATTGCCCTTTAATAATTAAGAAAGAAGTGTTGATATGATGTGTGATGCTTAAAAAAAATGTCTTATGAGCAGACTTGCAAGTTGCAATGTCGGCGTAGAGAGGATTCGACTTCCTCGGGAATTGGTTTAACATTCAAACAGCCTTGCATTAACAGGGGCAAGAATAGCATTTTCAAAGCACAGAAACATAAAACAAAACATAATCAGGCATTTCAAAAATTGTTAGTGAAACAATTTAAAGTTTAATTAAATTTAAATTATATTTATTTACATTGTTGATGATGCATCTTGTATTGAGAATTGTAGGTAGGTACATGCAGTACCCATAGAAGTTATGAAACATCAAACCTAGATTTTGGTGCATGATAATGATAAGAAAATAAAGTATCATAAAAAGTCTTGGATATGTAAAATGAAACAAGTTAAAATCTGAAAAGTTGAAGTAAGATTAAGTTTGATCGGAATGTTATAATTGAGATCGAGAGGCCATCCTTATTCTAGCTGCATCTCGTGATCGATTATGCACTTCTGCCGTCCGCAGTGTTATTCCGAAAATATCTTCGTGGTACCTGTTTTCATCCTGGTCAAAACAAAGAAATTACACCATCAGAAAATTTTCATGAACATCACAGATTCTAAACTCTTGAAGTAATTTCATTGTGTGCTCGTCATCTTTTATACAACAGTCGCAGTGTAGAACACAAAAATGTATGTATCGTAATCTATGCTGTAGCCCTGGTTTGGTTTGACATTTGGGTGTTTCCTGTGCCAAAATACTCACTATTGTGTTCGCAAATGTTCTTAACATTCCTTCAAGCAGGGGTTACATGTATGAGCTCTTAAGTACATCATCATGTTCTGGTATTTTTTGCCTTTTTACTAATTGCCATTAACTTTTAAAAGTCAAAAATTGATTTTTTCATACTTACCAGCGTTTCTTTAAGGTTTTTCTTGTCAATGGAAGGGAGGGCAGTTTTTTCAATTGATTAGAAAAATAATATACCTCCGTTTACAAAGCACTTTTGACCATCAGCTGTGAAATTATTTTTGAGTCAATACAACAAACGGTAAAGGTAAACATTATTAAATTACATTCTACAGTAAGTTTTTAGAGATGACTTGTTCAAATAGAAAATTTCCCATACTTTATTTAAAAATTGATCAAATACTTTGTTCTTGCACAATTAAAAAAGTACGTACTCTTAAACTGAGAACAAAATTGTCCGCTTCACTTTCGCCAAGGCCACTTCTGTCTTGAATTATTTTTCGGAGAGTCTGATACACATCCTCCGCCATCGTGCAGTCTCCACAGACGTAAAAGTGTCCACGTTCCACAACAATTAGCCTGTAGATTGCTTCACGCTCCTCCCACATTGAGTCTTGAACATATTTCTGTAAGAATGATCAGAGAGCGATCAGTAAATACAAAACTCCTTCTGTCGAATAAGCTTCTAGTTTTTCATTTGTCTATTTTTAACCAGAGCATTTCATATTTACTGTATTAGTTAATTATGGATGCTGGAATATGGAACACTATTTCCACTAGATTTTCAAACAACTGCATTTTTGTAGAAAAAGGTAAAAGGTTTTGTATTTTTCTGTGCTGAAAAGCTTATGAACTGTTCTTTGGCCAGGGCTATTGTACAAATCAAATTACAGATCATTAAAATACAGAAATATTAAAGCCATCAGTAACAATCCCATGAAATATGTGAAAATACATAATGCAATCAGATTATGAAATTAGCCTCACACAATTATGCATTAATCATCAAGAATTTCGTATTTCTATCTGGACGTTTCTCTCAACGCTCACAACTCCAAAATTTGATTTTTTTCTGAAGGAAGGCAAAATGCATGAAGTTTGAAATTTAAAATAACTAAAATTAATAGTCACCTTTGGTAGAGACGGCTCTCTAGATAGTGACAGAAATACTTTTCCAAGGACATTCTCTTTCAACATATTTTCCTTTTCCTTGGTATACAGCTCCAAATTTTTAGTGCGGCAGCCAAAGAATAACCAAATGGTGCCAATTTTCTTTCCAACTGCAAATAAAAAATTGCTGCATCAATTTTCCAAGACATTACATAAATTGCCAGGTCTGAGGAATGGCAAAATGCACTTTACAAAACACAAATTATGTTTAAAAATAGCCAACAGTTTGTGCTTCACTCAGTGAAAATTAAACTGAGCACTGAGTCTTGTTGAGGATTAGTCGAAAGCACTTTTACATAAAAATAGAGACTGCCAATCAGATAAAAGCCTCCATGCCTTGCAACCTCCTTCTTGCTGTTTCAGTCACGATAAGTTTGTAAGAGACGAGCTAATATTATTTTTGGGAACTGCATGATGCAAAGTTCATGGGGTATAAGTATATCTCTCCCATCAATTCCGATATCAAATGCAAATGCCATTATCCCATTAATTTTGGACTTTTTCAATTTGTTCAACAAGTCTTAGGTATATGACATTTTGATTAGGAAACATAATTTATGAAGCGCTTATTCTTATAGTGTCAAGAGTTCCAGTGGTGCGAATCCAACTAAAAGAATATGAGAAGAAAAAAAAGTGGTGGGTCTAGCTTCATTAAGTTCCTGATTCATATTTTAGTTATTTGTGAGGAATTATGCCATGTTTTCCTCTGTTTATGAATTGACCGATTCATTCTTTCGTGCAATTGTTGAACTGAATTTTCAAATATGAAATACCTTTTAACTTTGACTGCCAGGCTCTCTCTTGCCAGAAACTTCTGAATGGTGCTATACCTGTCCCTGGTCCAACTACTACTAGCGGTAAACTAAGATCTGAAGGAAGATGAAAATTCGGTGCGCTGAAAATTTGAGGAAAGAAAACATTTATTTCAATCAAAATACGTATCCAATTCAAAGTTAATTAGGATAGGGAGATAGTCTCAAGAAGGGTACAAATAAGATAAGCACAATAATGTTGAGAGTGAAATATAATTGGCCTTTAGACAAGATGTAAATTTAAGCACAACGCTGCATGATTTTTCTTCAAAACATCACAAAGAAAACGAATTGCTCAATGAGAAGTCTGAAAATCAACTCCTAAACAAGATGTAAACATTTTTTATTAAAATTGGTTTAATGGCAAAAATAAAATTGAAGTCATTTGTGTAATCCAACTTCCATTTGACCGGTGTTAAAAGTACTTGCCAATTTCTCGTTCATAAGTTGATTGCCGAACTTTCCGTTGTGTGAATCATGTTCTATGAGAGATTTTGAAGAGATAACATGTGACGTTTTCTTCTAATTCAGACCTTGTCTAGTGGCTCGTTCTTTAACTGGACTACATTTTGCAATTTGGACCTATAAATTCTGGCTCATCTGAAAAAACACTTATGTGCATAGGGAAACTAATGGCACATACGTTGTTTTTAAACCGGGCCGGAATTTATAGTTCCTAATTGCAAAATGTAGCCCAACTGTATTTTTGCTCCTCTGTAAACATTTTGTTGCAATCAAATTTTTCTATGAACATTTTCCTGCATAAGTTTGTTGATATTTTAAGTATACTTATGCCTGAAAGAACCAACAGGTAGGTAAATATAAATCGAATAAAAAAATTAAACTCCATTATTGAGTACATTGTGGAGGAAGGTGTCACCAATACATTTTATTTCACTTTTAAAACTAATGTTAGATAAGTCAGTAACAAACCACGAACATAGTAGAAAAAAAATGGGCTGCTAAAGGCTGTACCTAATAATGTCTGAATGACTTATCAGTTTTGGGTTGGGAGCGTAAAATTACTTTCTCCTGCTTTTAAATCCAAAGCAATTCGGTTTCAGGACATTCTGTCAACGATTTTTTGTCCGCACACTTGTTTTGTCCAGTAGTTGACGTCCACGCGTAAAATAAACAAGAGTCGGTCCAAGTGTTATGTTTTTGTCCATGTAATATTTTAATGACAGTATCAAAATGAGAAAATTGAGAGAGAATGAGGTGTTGATACTGTAACTCATTTTTTAAATTAAATGTTACTCTCCTCTTTTGATTTGTCTTTCCAAACCGTCATTGGTGAGTATTTGGTTTTATTTCTATCCTTAAAATTGTCGATATAAAATATACCTTGTACATCGCTTTCTTTTTATTTTTTTAATGAAAATATTACTTCATTTTAAAAGCATTCACATTTTTAAAACGTGGCAAATATTTGTAAAACCTTTTCCAAGCGATGGCATCGATATCAATCTGAATGAGTCGTAGTTGAATTGAAAGAAACTACATAAAAATGAAAGGAGGAGAGGAAAAAATTAAGAAGCACGCAATCTTTAGTTTTAAACCATTTTTACATCGATCTTTTAGAGTCAAATACGTCCAATTTTGAGCGGATAGTTGCGCGTACACCACGCTGCAGCACAGTAAAAACACAAAGTATAAAAGAAAAAATCGAAGTGCTTTGGAAATCATTAAATTCGACACGGAACCACCTTAATATTTACAAAACACACGTTTATATTTTCCTTTTATACTTATCTGTTCCGTCAATTTAAATGAGAATACTCCATGCAGAGTGTGCAAACATTTCAAAATCATGAGTTGAGAATCGCTGACTCCGCGAGTTTAAATACTATACAGCCTAACACAGAGCGGAACGGCGCGCGGCGTGCTGCGAGCGCGAACGCGCACTGGCGCCTACAAACCTAAGTGGATACTTCACGCATTGCGCAATGCTTGAAGTATCCCCTTAGGTTTGTAGGCGCCAATGCGCGTTAGCCGGCCGCCCACCGCGCCGCAGCGTGCCACGGCGCGCGGCGCCTCAAACAACTATTCACATCAGAGGTGTTACACAGTATCATACGAAATTGAAAGCGCTCTGACAAATTAAGAATGGCAGGCATTCTTTAAGAATACGGAGCTTCCCTCACAAAATAAATCAAGATACTGTGTGTAAAAGGAGAGCGGTAGTCCAAAAACTTACTAAGTCCTAGCATCCGTATTCAATAACGTTTAGCATAAGTTGCCGAAAAAGCGCGTGGACGCAAACTACCAGAAAAAACAGGTGCGCGGACAAAATCGTTGACGAAATGTCCTATAATCGGCAAATTCTCTGAGGAATGATGAAGTATCTTAAAGTTTATGAAAAGACACGAGAAAACAATCAGTTGGGAAAAACTATTTTGACCAAGAGAAACAAGGAGCTTACCTACGGACGAATATGTAAACATCGTCATTTAGTTGAATATCTTTCAAGTAATTGGAACAAACACCGTAATGTTCTGGTCCTTTTCCACCTGTAAAAGTTTTTTTTTAAAAAGAAATATTACCATATTTTTTATACTATTTCATGGGAAATTTGTAAGATCTTTTTAACTAACTTTTTGAAGTACTTTCTGGTGCTCTTGTAGTGCTTTAGTGAACACGTCAAAAATTGTTAATGTACCAACTCAGCGATTTCTTCTTTTTTTCTTGGCTTTTTAGTGTTCTGCAAGAAAAGGAGCATTTGATTTGTTTTTACTGCAGTTTTCTCTCTAAAGCATCTCATAAAAGTATTTTCACCATGTTGTCTTGCAAATCCGATAATCAATCAAGTTATGTAATGAACAGTCTTTGGTCAGCTTGCTGACGGGCCCTTACGAAGTTTTTTTAAAAGCTATAGGATGAGACAATACTACATCAGATAGTAATAACTAAAAAACCAAAAAAAAAGACAGTACAGCACTTAAATTTTATTAAATATATTCTTCTATCCCTCTACTGACTAATGTTTATTAAATATATTTTGTATATTTATTTATTGAAATATAACTAAGTGCTGTTCCGTGCCGTATCCATACGATAATAATAATGAAATTTTGCCAGCCACCCTGGCGATACCGAGATGAAATACTTAATAAATGTAATTTCTGAGGATTCTATGAATTTGGAGGAGAGATCGTGTACCTCTTGCGATATTGAGATGAAATTCGTGTAATTTTTGACTTTTTAAGAGGTGAAATCCAAGTAAGCAACTATTCGAACTCCGGTGTAGGTTTGTGGTATCATGCGAAATTGAAGGAAAATCATTGCTTTTAGCCTATCTCAAGTTACGGACGTTTATAAATATTGAGCTCATATCCACTCGAAAATCGCGTAATTTTCGCGAGGAGGTGAACACTTCTTAATATTTTGATCAACCGTTGAAAATCTTGCGTTTTTCCGAGATTGGGTAAACTACGCGAAATTTTCAATGACTTGACAAAACAGCTTATTTGCCGCGATTGCCACGTACTTTCTGAGATTTTATGTAAAATCACCGGAAAAATCGCGTCTTCACCGTCATATCGAGATGAAAAGCTCGCTATTTATGAGGATTCGATGAATCCGGGGGAGATATCGCGCACCTCTCCCAATATTGAGATAAAATGCGCGTAATTTATGATTTTTTAATGGGTGGAATTCAAGTGAGCATTTATTCCAACTCCGGAGTAGGTTTGTGGTATCACGCGAAATTGAAGGAAAAACATAGCGACGGTGTAAGTCTGCAATCACATAACTCGGTTTGCGACGTCGCAGACTTCCTGTCATACTTTATTTTTAAGACGGAAAACTACTCAACGGAAATTCTTTAAAACTGCCGTGATTTTTCTTCTCTGTGTGAAGAAAATTCTGCGCATAAACTTCAAGGAATGATGTCAATTTATTCTCCTTTACGAGGCGGAGATTTTTAGACACCGCAAACGAGTTATGTGATTGCCGACTTGCACCGTCAATAGCTTTTAGCCCACCTCAAGGTACGGACGTTCATGAACATTAAGCCTGCATCGCATCTATGTGAAAATCGCATGATTTTCGCGATGGGGTGAAAATTTTTGATCTTTTTTTATTTTAATCGACCGCTGAAAAATGTGCGTTTTTGCGGGGATATTGAGGTAAGCGACGCGTAATTTTCAAAAATCACTATATAGAAATCGCGTCTTTACCGCGGTACAGGGTGGCTAGCGACCGGAAAACAGGGAAATTCAGAGACTAAAACTCGATGGGGAAAAATCAGGAGATAGTCAGGGAATTTTTTCAACGATCAGGGAATTTTTTGAGGAGCCGGGTTCCACGTGAAAATCGAGTTCGCGACGGGCCAGCTGATCGCGTTGTCAGAAGCGGATCCAGCAATATGGCAACACCGAATTCCCTTCATTTAAACCCATGTTAAATAATCGATTCTTGTCGGAGCACCTGGCCCCTCCAAGAATCGATATATTACCATAGGTTTAAATGAAGAAAAACAGTGTTGCCAATTTGCTGGATCCGCCCATGCGCGTTGTTGTGCCAACGTGCCAACCGGGTGGCGCTCTGAAGCGGTGTTTCCGACGACTTATCAAGTCAGGAAATTTCATTAGAAGTCAAGGAAAAGCCAGGGAATGATAAAATACAATTTTGCTAGCCACCCTGTATGTATATATACGTACTTAGAAGGACACAATATTCGCTGAATGTCTCAAAATTATAATAACTAACTAACTATATCTGTCGAAGGCAAATAGTCGAATCAGGCATTTTGTCAAATGCCTCGGCAAATAGTCAAATATTCTTACTTCGATTGAAATTTTGATTTTTTACCCTAATTTTAGATAAAATAATTCGAGGACATCGTGCACGATATCAGGTCCAAGCAGTTGGTCTGGTATGGACATGTGCGAAGGATGGCAGACGACCGGTTGCCCAAGCAGGTCTTCGATTGGGTTCCTCCCGGAAGGCGACGGCGTGGACGTCCTGTGAAAGGGTGGCGACAAGGGGTGGAGGAGGAGATCAGAAGGTGCCAATTACCTGATGATCTCTGGGAGGATAGGGGGCAATGGCGATTGGGCGTCGCAGAGCGCGAGGCGGCGCTATAAAAGCGACTTTATGTATGTATGTAATTCGTTGCTCATGTAAGAAAGAATTCTTTATAAAAATATGCAGCATACAATAGTATTTTAAACGATTTTAAGATCCTAAATGCACTTTTATCATGAGATTTTCAGTACGTCATAAAACGTAAATTTGCTAAAATTTTAACATTTAAATGCACTAAAGGCATGAAAAAAGGAAGGAACATGGAGAGTTCTTGGATTTAAAGAGTTATTCCTCCCGAAATATTGAAAACCCGTGAACTCCTCGCCACAAATTTACAGAATTCCGTAAACTGTCAAAATTTGACCACCGGCTTAGGCATTTGACAAAATGCCTGATTCGACTATTTACCTTCGACATATACGTTAGAAGGACATAACATATCCATCAGAAAAAAAGTGAAATTCAATTATTTTTCACTGAAAATGCACGATAATTTTTCTGTTTTGTCTGTCTTCTTTTCCCCTCCTTCCTACTCACTGTGAAAAGAGACCAAAACTATGAATACAAACCTTGCGTTCTATAAGTAACTATTGCCACTGTGAGATGAACTTGATTGGGGAAGACAACAGGTGACGAGGATATTGAATAAAAACGAGGCTGCAAAGGTGTTAAATGACAAACTAATAGAGCAGGCGGAGGTTTTGCGGATGGAAATTCCTCTAAGACTTCAAGTAAATGTGGGAACCTCCAATGCCTCCAATCTTCATAAGCTCCGCTGTCCTGAAAGAAAGAGAGCCAATATTGCAAAAAAACCTGTATCTTTTGAAAAATGTATTACATAACCACTGTAGTAATGATTCCTTGAACATCGGAGTGACAAGAACGAAACAATGGTTCATCCTGTCCGCACACGAATCAAAGATAATCAACAAACTTTTCGAGCCATTGATGATGCACCATTTCGAAGAATTTCATCAAATAAATTTGCAATAATATCGCGATTTTATCGACGACGATTTATCGCAATATTGTCGAACAAAAAATCGCGATGATATAAAATTTCGATTTTATCGAGCGCGATTTTATGAAACAGCATCAAGATCGAAGATATTAATGTTGATGATTCTAGCGACCTTATTGCCAAAAAATCTTAATAAAATCGCAACTTAATTTAAAAATATCGCGATTTTTCCGTTAAAAATGTTATAATTAGGCTCAGGAAGACTGTAACGAAAGCGTCTTTACTTAGGTCGGATATCAAGAATACATTGAGATTACCGTGGCCAACAGTTCCAGAGTGTTTCTATCGTTTTCGTCGGAACAATAATTAGCTAAGACATGGAGGAGGTTGGGCGATGGTGGTGTTGTAATGTCAAGGAATCTATGAAGTAGCTCTCTCAGAGAACATCGTGGCAACTTTGGATGGGCTTCCCACGTAGTATCGAATCCTGCAACATAAAGATTCATCAAAATGCAAGATGCACGCAAGCTTGTGGAAATGAAACACTTATGATTTAAGTCAGCCATTGATTGGTGTCCGTTTACATTCCCCCCATGTAATACAGGTTGCAATAAATTGCATTTACATGGTAAAATTATACCTACCGTTTAAAAGTGGTGTGCGTCTGTGAGGGAGGGTGTGTGTGTTGTCTACTCAATAATTGAAGGGGCTCTCCTTACTGACAAAATTGATCGCAATAAAATTGAAATTGCAATTTTTCATTGCATTTCACATTGACTACCACTCTCACACATGGAGCTCATTTTTATTTATCATGTAAAGTCGGTATTATTTTATTGAACAAAGGAGGGGCTTGGAGTATACAAGGCTTATAAGTGCAGTTTTTGCTACATCAAGAAATGCGTGTTTGAAGTTCCAAATTTACATGGAGCCTTGTGGCGGAAAGAAAATTTCAAATCACTTTTTGATGCTTTAAAGTTGGATTTCTATTGTGAATTTTTCACAAAACATACTTTCAAACTAGATTTAGTCGAGCTTATGAATACCTCAATTTTTTCAAAAACTACACTTTTGCGCATTGTCCTTCAAGCCCCTCGAATGGTGAATAAAATTGTATTTTTATTGCATTAACTTAAAAAATTAGATATTTCAATATTTTATGCTGAGTGGGCTCTTGTGCAGCGTCTCTTCAAGCTGAAATAAGCCACTTTAGTTTTAAATTTCTTATAATTTATAGAGGAGGTGATCTCAATTATTACCTACCAGAAAATTGTTGCCGAATTCTCCTTTTGTAAAGCCTTAATATCGATATTATTGGACTAGGTATTTGTGCACAACGAGGCCAGACAGGTGGGCACTGGGCACAGTGGTCTTGAAGCAGCAAAAGAAAAAAAAAGAAAAAAAAAACTGCGACAAAAATGTTCCCAAAAACTGTTTACATGGGGTCAGTCTATGGCACATGTGGACTTAAAATCGCGAAAAATAAAAATCTGGGCTGATCCTAATTTCACGACATCGCTATTTGAAGTTTTCACAGAAAATGCAACTTTTCTAAGTACCGATTTTGATCCTCTTTTTTGTTTATTTGTAATCGGTGTTGATCAGTTCACGTTTTTTTATTCGTTCGATTCATGTCTATCGAATACGTTTATCCTCTCGTTATATGCAGACTACCATCATACTCTTTTTTTTAATTGACCAATTCTCCTTCATCTGCGTCCGCGGCAATTGTTGTTACGAGTATGTTGTGCGTGCTGATTTCAGCGCATTACATACTCGACTTTCTGAAGGCGTTTTATTTGCGCAAGTAGAGCACCCTGTCGGAGGACAACAGAAGTGAGATGGGATGAATCGCTCAATCCCTGCTTCGTTCGTTCTCCGACAGATCGCGCTACTTGCGCAAATAAAACGCCTTCAGAGAGTCGAGTATGTAATGCGCTGAATTCAGCACGCACAACATATTCGTAACAACAATTGCTGCGGACGCAGCTGAAGGCGTATTGTTCAGTTGAAAAAACGAGTATGATAGGTAGTCTGCGTGTTATGAGAGGATATACGTATTCGATAGACATGAATCGAACGAATAAAAAAACGTGAACCGATCAACACCGATTACAAATAAACAAAAAAGAGGATCAAAGTCAGTAGAAAACTTGCATTTACGGTAAAAATTTCAAATTGCGATGTCTCGAAATTAAGATCAGCCCAGATTTTGATTTTTCGCGGTTTTAAGTCCACACGTGCCATAGCCTGACCCCCTGTAAACAGTTTTTGGGAACATATTTGTCGCACTTTTTTTTTCTTCAAGACTAGTGAGTGGGAAAGAAGGCGTATGCTCGTTAGTCGAAGGCCGTAAGAATGAATGGGAATCATATAGCGCCAGTGACGTCAAGGGCGACGAAGCCGCCGCCGCGATCGTCCGTCCTCCGCATTAACTCATGAGCCCTGTCCACAATGCTCTTTTGCCATGCCCACGGCTCATTGGTGCCTCTTACAGTTGGCGCTAAGTTCCGTTTGGTAGAGTGTAAAATCTCGTTGTTCCATTTCCCTAAAGGGAATCACGCCCACTTTTACATTGTTTCTTATCCAGCTTTCTAGAGCACACCCCATCTTTCCCACTCGTCTATAGTTCCGTTTAGCAGAAATACGTCCGATTGAAGCACTATTACATTATTCGTAATATTTTATTTCCGCTTTATTGTGTCTTACCTGATGATGTATGTTTTTCTTTCAATATTTGCACCTCGATCGGTTGGTCGGCATCGAGAGAATTATCATTGCTTGTCTCCTCCTTCAAACGCTTGATAATGCCGTTCACTATTTCTGGCCTATTGCTCGGTAGCACGCCTATGTGGTCGCCTGGTTCATACTTCACACTTCCGTTCGTTTGAATTTCTAAGAGGAATGTTTTCTTTTCCGATTCAGAACCGTGGAGGTTGATCCGTTTAACCAGCGGACATTTAACCACAGTTCGATTGTGATAACTAGATAGAGCTGGAACAAAAGGTGACAGCAGAGCTTGTTGAAAATGATCAACGATTCTTAACTATGACTAAACGCAGCCCTTATTTCAGCGGGCGGATTATTGACATTGATAGACAAAGAAGACATAGGGAGTATGGAGCTATTCTAGTGGTTGAAATGGATGGTTCCTATGGCGACTAAGGGAGAAAATGATGGACTAGCGGGTCTCTCGTGGGTTGCCGTTAGTTAGTCTATTACCTCCATTTCCAATCCATGTCCATTGCAATTACCCACTTCCACCAATAGGATCCCTTCATGTCCCTCTTGTCTTTTTTGTCTATACCTTTGTCTATCGATTTCAATAATCGGCCCGCTGGTGGGAAAAGTCAGTACAAAATATAATTTCCACTAATACATTTATATATGTTTACCAGACTTTACTGTGCTGCCTATAGTTTTAGGAAATGGGAGGTACATGTACGTGTATTTAGGCTTGTGATGTTACAGATTTCCTGTCGCATTTCATTTTTTTTAAAAACGAATGGTCCTCGTTTTTGGTCCGAATTCCGTGCAATTCATCAAGATTGTTCTGTGAAAATATCGCGATTGAACGTCAAAATTTTATAGTTTTCACAAACGGGAGGAAACAAAAAGTCCAAACAAAGGACGACTTATGAAAGTAGGTTTAAAAATCTCCACATATCATGCTCAGATAACTAATTTTTTTGCAATTTCGAAGGCCGGCAAATTTGTAATAAATAAAGTAATGTATTTCTTGGAAAATTGATAATGTAGCAATAAAAAATAGTAGTGATTTACTTCATCGTCACAAAACGCAACGCTGGATATTAAAATTTAAGAGAAACAATCGAAGCAGTATTTGTCCTACGCGACGATTATTCAATGAATTTCATCGTAACGCCTGGATGTCCGTGTTGCATACACACTGAGGTGAAGGCGCTTTTACTCCTCAACTGCCTCACTAGCGGTGGCGCTCAGTGAAGTTAGTGAACAAGAGGAGTCATACAAAATGTGGACAAATTTAAAACTCAAATCGATAATAATACGGAAGGAAGACATTTTAGGAGTGGTTTCATTGATTTTCTCGTAAAATTCCCTTCAAGCGGCACCCCATGCAATTCATAATTTGAAGAAATAAAATCAAAATTTGCAATTTCAGTGGACAATTTCATGTGTAATTTCTTTGATAGGCTTGTTTCATTCAGCGGGCTTTACTTACTGCGAGGATCCAAAATGACAGAGTGCCTTCAATTCTTCATTTATACTTCGGAGTTATCTCTCAGATATGAATTGTTGCTCTGCAAACCTCTAGAACATTTAAGGGGCTTGAAGGGCAAGGCGTATAAGTGCAGTTTTTGCTATTTCGAGAAAAACATGTCTATATAAGTTTTCTAACTTAAATGAAGCCTCATGGCGGAAAGACGATTCAAACTCACATTTTGATGCTTAAAAATTGGATTTTACCAGTGGATTTTTCACAAAATTTATTTCAAACCTAAATTTAGTTGAAATCACTAATATCTCAATTTTTTTGAAAACCACACTTATGCACCTTGTCCTCTCCAAGCCCCTCATTTCTAGCACTGAGGGATTGATATAATCGTCGATTTTAAGGGGTTCGAAGGGGGACAGAGATGAGATTTTCCACCCCCTTCCCCTCCAAGTCTCTGTCACAAAAATTTCCGAGAGAGCCACCTATGTGTAGAATAAGATATTTACAATTACCTGAATCTAAAGAATCTTCTTTAGCATTGACGAATCTAACAGTGTCTGGAGAAAGTGATTCGCCACAAAGAGCCTGCTTGACTTCCGCCAGCGCTTCATCCTCCTCCAAACAAAATGTTTCACAAGCTAACTGCAATGGAAAAATACTCATTTAGGTACATTTGTTTTCCCTGTTTTAGAATCAAGGCATCTATAAGGAAGACGTGGCGAAAGTCGTAATTGAAAAACATAAGTACATGGCACAGTGCACTGTTCCTTTGAAATGTTCCGAACGCTTTGATATAGCCTGTGCATCTTGCTGTTTTGCTACTTCTGAAGACTCGTTTCACTTAAACTTTTCATTTTTTTTTTTTTTTTTTTTTTTTTTTTTTTTTTTTTTTTTTTTTTTTTTTTTTTTTTTTTAAAAGAAAAAGAACAATATTTGTGACAACGAAAAATAATTTTTTTAGCAGAAGAAATGGGACTTTTAGCTGCAATTTTGCTCATTTGGAAAGAAAGAAAATTATCCGGCCGTCAGCTTAAAGTATAGAGAACATCTTCTCATGCACAACAAAACAGTAAACACCTCGTTTATCCAACTAAAGCTTTTAAAATCTGTGGCAAGATGTGTGCGATTTTTCTATTTTTTTTTCTTTATTTGAGGGGTAAATATGAGACCTGCGGAAAAAACGAGACTTTCCTTGTCTGGTCAATATCAGTCAGGAAAAAAGAAAGAAAACGGAACATTGCTCGAAAGTCTCGGCCAGTGAAGGGGAGAAGGGTTAACTTTTTAGGACAATCCTCTTCATGACCTTCGCTCATATTGCATATCAAACAAACAAACAAACAGAAGGCACACTAACTTTAATGTCTGTATTTTCGTAAATTTTTAATGTCTTCACGTGTGTCCAATTTAACCTGCTAGAAAAGAGTACCTATTTTAGATTTTGAGTTGAAGGCCTTGCGAGCCCGCTCTTTCTTATGGTTTGTTGTCGAATTCAGCATTTTCGCGATTTCACGAGGTATACTTTAGATACGTAATGGACAAGAAATTGGACGTATTTATGCTGAAAGGAAATATGTAACGCAATCTCTATGCACACAGTTCCTTTTAGCATAAATACGTACAGTTCAGCGTTACTCTGCTGTGCCAAGGAAAAACGCCACATAAGCCCTCATGCGTTGCCAAATTTCCTTCAATAAAATATGAATTTTTAAGGAAACTTATGGATATTTTTCTTCCAATGTTCAGTGAAAATCATTTAAAATTTGATCTAAAGCATGAGGAAATCTCAATTTAAAATACATACGATTTTCCACAAAAATTAATATTTTATAAGGTGAAATTCGGCAACTCCTGAAGGCTCATACGAGGTTTTTCCTTAGCACGGCAGTACTGTGTACATGTTTGTAAAAACAATTCACCGATTACACGACGGATACGATATATACCCCGTTTGCAAAATTTCTCAGCCTCGGCAACTTTTTGCCCCGTCCGTGGGTTAGTGGATGTTCTTACCCAGTCCATAAATTGGACAAATTCATGCTAAAAGGAACTATATTACACGCAATCCCTATGCACATAGTTCCTTTCAGCTTACACATACGTTCAATTGGGTAGCCAGTCCGCGAAGTGACTGGTCAAAAGTCTTAAACTTACTTAATTTTAAATGCAATCCATACGCTAACGGAACCTTTCTGAAGAATATTTTGTAAGATTTTTACTAAACCTCTAACTATTAAACACAATTTACATGTCATGTTAGTGGATTTTCTCTGATTTCTTTCAGAAACTTTCAATAAACATTCACGAGTTTTTAAAGTTTGCTCTTATCTCGGTGTCTTGGGTGTGTGTGTGTTGCATATTAAAAAATTGAAGGCGCTCCCGCCTCACAAAGACTAGCCTGAGTTGATCGTGAAGCCTTGGCTCTTGATGCAACAATTCGTGTTCCGCGGATGTGCAAGTTGCTCCAAATTGAAGACGCTCCCTCTTTACTCACAATTGCCTGTCTTACTGACGCACGGAACTCATGTCACTGATTGTTTAAAACCGGCAGTCATTAAACAAATTATGTAAAAATATTGCAATTTTACTGTATTGAACCGCCACTTGGACGTATTTCTGCTGTACGATTGAGGAAGATGAGGTGTGCTCTAAAAAGCTGCATAAGAAAAAATGTACACGTGTGGGCGAGGTTCCCTTCGGAGAAATTGAAAAGCGGGATTTTACATTCTACCGATCGGAACTAAGCGAAAACTATGGGTATGCGGCACTCATGAGCCGTGGGCATGTGACAAGAGCGTTGTGGACAGGGCTTATGAGTTAAAGACGCCCACGTGGCGACGGCTTCGTCGATGCTGACGTCACTGGCGCATTTCCCTTTCATTCTTACGGCTCTCGACTAACGAGCACACCCCTTCTTTCCCACCTGTATTGGGTTCCGTTCAGCAGAAATACGTCCACCTAAATTCAATATTTTCCTGGTACTGTGCTTCTACGGAAGCTTCGCAATGAGGAATATTAACCAGTTGCCCAAGTAGCAGTTCTCAACGGAAAAATCGCTAATCGCTGTATATTCCGATTTTATCGGCGATAAAATCGTAAGGATTATCAACATCTGAGCGAATATCCTCGATCTGATCGCGATAAAATCGCACTTTTATCGTCCGACAATTGGGCTGCATTTTGCAATTTGGAACTATAAATTCTGGCCCGGTTTAAAAACAACGCATGTGCCATTAGTTTCCAAATGCACACAAGTGTTTTTTCAGATGAGCCAGAATTTATAGTTCCAAATTGCAAAACGCAGTCCAATTTATCGCAATATTCTCGAAATAAAAATCGCGATGAATGGCGATTTAATCTCGATTTTATCGAACCAAAAATTGCAATGTGTAGCGATTTAATCGCCATATATCGCAATTTTTAATGCGATAATATCTCGATATATTGCCACCGATTATAATCGCGATAACCAACCGATAAAATCCCTATTTATCGCGATCACAGCTACTTGGGTAGGTATAACTAAAATAGAAGTAGTAATTTGAAAAGGTTGATGATAAGTGTCGGTGAAGTACTTTGGATTCACTGGGTTACTAACCTTGAGTCATGCTGCAAGCACCCATCAAACGTACACAATTTACAGGATTAACTACGATACTACTTTAGCATGGCTCGCTACGGAAATATTTGTTTATTCTTATCTATTACCTACTTACGCTAAACACTTCAGGTGCCCAATTTCTGAACGCCTGTTCCAGCCCGCACATCTCATCGCCGTACGTCAGTTTAAGTAGTCGCTCTCCTCCCAGTTCACCCAGGAGGTTGTCTACGTAGGCCCCGAATGCGCAGAAGTTGGGATACGCACTTGAGCCCAAAGCAAAGACTGCGAACCTAGAAAAACAAGACATGGTCTGTCATATAAATGACGTCGGGTGTACTTAGAGAGGAGGGGCGCTAGTAGCAACGATTTGTGAAAAACTTGGAGAAAAATTTAAAAAACTTTTGAAATCAAGATGCACAACACATATAGAATTCGTAGAAAACTCATAAAAAAAAAAGATTCTAGTCGAAAAATTTGGAATCATTCCTAGAATTTAACACGTAAAAAACTTGTGGAAAAGTTGTGAGAAACTCAAGTTAAAAAAATAGTGCTGCCACTGAAACTTATTTTTAACAGGTTTTGTGTTCTATATTTTGCCGTATCCTTAATGGTCGCTATCAACATTTTTTTCTACGGGTGGAATATAGAGTAAAAGTTACTGGAACATTCCGCCGCAATGGTCATTAAAAACTTGCCGATTATAACGAAAGTCACTCGTCCTTCGGGCATCATGCTAGAAAATTCGCGATACAACTATTTCAACCCCTGAGCCGCTCAAATTGTACCCGTCGATTTGAAGGCGAACTTGACTTTTAACTCCACTGTTCAGTTATTCAGACGTGATTGCGAGAGCTGAGCTCAGTTCTAACTTTTGCAATTTGATGAAAACGCTTGTAGGGGAAAAACACGTAGGTTAAAAGGGTTGTGGGTGAATATACGTGAGTTAAATAGTCCCCGGTGAAAATTTGTGGGTGAATAGTCCTTCAGGCGGAAAGACTGTGGGTGGAGTAGTCCCGGCACCGTATGTTTCGTTGGTTTATGCTCATTTTAGTATTGACAACGTATCAGGTTTCTGGGCTAAGAAACGGTGTGAGTGGCAAAACGGTTTTCCTAGATAATTACGTTCAAAGCTTTTTAATTGTTATCCAAGTGAGGCTATGCCTTCAAAAGGCTCAAAAAAATGTTGTGCCTTCCTTAAATATAAACTTCGGATCAAACGATCATGGAATTTTGTGTGGTAACACTTGAGCAGTGATCAATGAAAGAGCAATTCACAACTTCTGCCTAACCTTCGTATCATTTTAATTAATTTCATTTGCGGCGTGTATCTAAAGGAATATGAGCAACTGCAGACTTTGAGGAAATATTTTTCATATTTAATAATGACTGCACTTTGATAGCGCATGGCATAGAATATTAATTTGGTGAAGCAGTTTAATTTGTGGATTTTGCATTGCCTAGGCCTAAACAAATGTTATCATCAAGTCAATTTCTTTGAATTTCAAAAATATACTTCCATGAATTACATTGTTAACACGACAATTATTTTGCAAATGGACCACTAGACAAGGTACGAATTTCAGCATTCTGATACATGTTTCTTCACCAAAATTCCACGTAAAACACGATGCGCACAACAAAAATTACCGAAATCAACTCCTTACGGAGATACTCAATAATTCTTGATGCGTGAATTTAAACCACCCGCTCATGAAAACTCAATGCTCTACGTGATTCACATCGCGCGCTAAACGTTATCATGAACATCGCAGCGATATAAAAATCTGGCAGCCTCAATTTTGACGCTTTGGCTCAGCTATAGCAAATTGCTTATAGTTTGAATAACACATGGTGGGAAATGAACATTGCTCGATTGAGAAGCTTGCTGAAACCATTGTAGGGCGCGATTTGACTCACGTAGAGCTTTGAGTTTCTTGTAAGCGGGCAGTTCAAATCCCTTGTAACCAATGTGAAATAAAAACGTTAATATCTTCGTTAAGAGTTGGTTTCAGTCATTTTCGTTGCGCGAATCGTGTTTTGCGTGAAATTTTGATTATGCAACATGTATCAGAATCCTTTAATTCGTACCTTGTCTAGTGGTCCATTAGGAGAATAGGTGGGCAAAAAAGAGAAAAGGTAAGATTGGAATAATAAATGGCGGTGAAAAAAGAATTGGAAAGTGACTGGGTGATACATAATCTAGCGAGCGTGAGTTCAAATTAGCACATGCTGATGGCTCATCAAGAAGCCCACGTATATATCTGGATTCTCATTTATGACGTTTTACAATTCCTGGTTTTATTGAATTTTATTCATTGGAAACCAGCTCAATTTTTCTCCTGGGGGATATCCAGAGGATGGTTCGAACAGAGAATCACGGAACTTTTCAAAAAATTAATTGGATTAGTTTTTCAATGGGCCAGTTGCGCTGGTCACAGAATCGTGTTTTGATGCATTCTTGTAGATTAGCTAAAAAAATAAGATCCGTCCAAACAGCAACTTTCTACGTTGAATATTAACCGAGATATCGTCCTTTAAAAAGTCGTGTTTTTGACGTCATCCACCGCGGTTGTGCATAGCATGGAGCATATTACCGCGGTGGATGACGTCAAAAATTGAGTTTTTCAAGGCGCGATATGGCATTGTAGCATATTACCGCGGTGGATGACGTCAAAAATTGAGTTTTTCAAGGCGCAATATGTCCGTTAATATTCAACGTAGAAAGTTGCTGTTTGGACAGATCTTATTATTATTAGCTAATCTACAAGAATCAAGCATCAAAACACGATTCTGTGACCAGCGCAACTGGCCCATTAAGGGATGTAACATAGTGAGAAATCTCTAGCATTTCAAATCGAGGGACGTGGTATTCGAGTTTCACCATCGATATCACATTTCAGCAAATCAGATTCAAATTAAAAGAAAATTTAGATCATATTTTGTGCAAAAGAGGCAAACAAAAAAGAGTGATTGATACATGTCCACAACAGTAAAAAATGGCTTTGAAAACAGTCAAGGGCGAGGAAGAAGGAGAAGATGCGATAGAACACTTGCAGGAGTTAACGACAGGGTCATTTATTTGTTGTGAATGTGATACGCATGCGCTTTACACCAGGGTAAGCAACAGGTGCCCGCAAAATATTTTTCGTCGAAAAAATTCGTAAAAGTGAAAATAAACCAGGATTTGTTCAATTTTGTCAGCAAGTCTATTTTATTGACGTCTATGAAAGACCACCGATGACTCGATGAATAGAAAATGTATCAATGGCAAAATGAGAAAAACGAGTCAGTATTGCGATTTGCGAAGTTGATAACTAACTCGTCTCATATTGGAGTACTTCAGAAACCCATTTCACATCTTTCAATCGATAATCATTGCTGCACGCAGGGTACTTTGTAGTATAATTCGCAAAATGAAGGCGCTCAAGAATCTGGGTCCTTCATGACCGATCGATCCCTCGGCAAAGTAAAATTATCACAGCTATCTTGAAATACGGCAACCGAAATAGGTACGGGTTTCTTCTAGTTTATTGTCACCTGAAGGGTTGCCACAATTTCTTAATTTTCAAATTCCCCGAATTTCTTTTTGTTGTTCCCTGCGAATCCAAAATTTTTAGATTCCCTGACATTCGGATAAAACTCTCCATTTTAATTTTTTCCCTTAAAATTACAATAACTTCTGCCAAACGCACCTCTCATAATTCCCTGACTTTTCCTGTGAATTTCCTGCCTATTCCTGGACGCCGCTGATTCTCTGACTTTCTCTGACCTTCCCAGTTTTCCAGGCCACCGGTAAAGCTGCATCTGGATGGTTTCACGATAACTGGAATAGTTTTGTCGCCGTAACAGACAGCACATTTTTCGGTCATATTTTTAGTAGTAATGATAATCACTAGAATTGTTCTGCATTAATCTACACAGGTTTACGTATTATAACAGTTTTCAAAGATTTATCGCTTTACTTTTCAATTCTAATATGTAAATGGCCGAAAATAGTGCTGTCTGTTAGGCTGAATTTTTACCGCGTAACAGACAGCACATTTTCGGAATTTACATGATATTAATTGAGAAGTACAGCAATAAACCATTAGAAAGAGTTATAATATGTAACCCTTTGAAGATTAATGCGAAAAAATTAGAGTGGTTATCATTTCTACTAAAAATCTGACCGGAAAATGTGTTGTCTGTTACGGCGACAAAACTACTCCAGTTATCATTCGTGCGATTTGGGAAATAATCGGGATTTTACCTAAACTCTCGCGCGGGAATGCATGCAAATGCGGGAAAGATTAAAAGCTAAAAACGTAGAAGAACACTTCTCTGCGTCGTAGCCAGAAACAAAACGGGAAAATAAAATAAAGAAGAAACAAACAACTATGAAGCACACACAAGCACGAATTTAGGAATGAGAGGTTACCTAACATTACTGAGCGGACCGAATGTATCAGCATCTGTGACAGAGGCTCGGAAAGATTCGTTCTTTTCCAGCAGCTGATCTGATTGACTGTTTACTTTGATAAAAGATGCTGAGCTGGTGATGAAAAAATAACACAAATGATATTAAGGTAAAGACAAAACGAACACATCGAAATGTGTCATGTACCTACTTTAAATTCAAAACGTGGGGAGCAAACGAAACTGTGGGGGAACCACCTACACTGCTGAAAGAACAAACAGAAATCATGAATCAATAGGTCCGTCAAATATCATTAAAATCTTGGCACTATGGTTTTGCAAGAAATCCCTCAAAAATACCTTTCAGCTCCAAGTAGCGCAGATTGCAGTTAATTGCGATCGGTATTAGGACAAAATGGTGTCTATGTTGCCTATTCACAAATTGAAAGGGCTCCTCTTATTGAAATCCATTGTAATACAATTATTGCAATAAGTTGCAATTTTCGTTGCATCAAAAAGTGCATACATCTCTGGCAAATATGGAAAGCGTATGATTTATTGTGTAAAAATAAGCATTTATTGACCTAATGGTATAAAAATTATGAAATTTTATTGCATTGAATTGCAAAATTCTTTATGAGCTTTCTTTGCACTGTGTTACTTGAGGGCATGATCTGCTACGTCTCCAAGACGAAGGAACGCGACTCTATTCCAATGTTGCAAAATTGACTCAGAAAAGTCAATATTGTTTGGCAAGAATGCAACTGTGCGATTTTCCTTCAAAATGTTTCTAATTTTTGCAAATAATCGGCAGAATAATCAAAATGAAATTTTCAGTTAGAAGAACCCAACAGTCGTTCGGTAAAGTTACAGTTTAAACATTGGAAATTTTGCAACCTTGAAATTTAGTCTTCTTCGTTCATACGGAAAACGACGATTTGTGGAAACACCGGTAATTGACATTCGCATACCGACGGTGAAACTACCAAACCACGTATCTCGGTTTGCGACGTCGCAGACTTCCTGTCATACTTTATTTTTTAAATGAAAAACTACTTAACGTCCAGTCTTGAAAATTTCTGTGATTTTTCCTCTTCGTGCGGAGAAAATTCTGTGAAAATTTCAAGGAATGATATTGATTTGGTCTACTTCAAAAAAATAAAATGCGAGCGTAGATTTTTAAACACCGTAAACGAGATACGTGGTTTGGTAGTTTCACCGTCGATACGTCAATCGGCTGTTCCTCTATGGGCTTAGTTATAAGGTTTTTTTATTTTTTATTTATTTATTTATTTTTATTTATTTATTTTTTTTACCGTGCTGGATCGGATACTCCGTCGCAAATTGAACGATTGAGAGTGAATGAATCCTTCTCCAAAGTAAAAAGAACAAAAATTTTGTCTCTCGGTGGAAGGGGTAAAAATCTTACAAGTTCATGATTAATTGCAATCACATTTCCCTCGAAAGCGATAATTTTTGCTTCTAAACAAGCCAAGACGTGAACAATTCCTCAAAATAAGAATCCTTGTACCACTTACCTTAAAGGTGAGGAGTGTCCATTAGCTAAATTACCATTTTCTAATTTGATGCCGTAAAGATTATGTGCAAATTCCTGCGAAACGAAGACCAAAAATTAAGAGACGCTACGCTCATAGGGCAAAAGAGCCTCCCAAAATAAGGGCTGACATTCGCCCCTTTTTCGGTATTCGATTCGACCATCGAATCAGGGATTAAGTAGAAATTTATAATAACAGAAAACTCAGGAAGAATTTCAAGATGAGTATAGGAACCGTTTTTGAGTTACGGGGGGGGGGGCAAAGGGGTCAAACTCCGGCCTTATTTTTCGCTATTTTCTAGTTGAATTGATGTGTCTACGGGTTTGTTATCGTTGTTTACAAACGTTATACGCACTGGTTCCTACTATTTTATACGCTAAATCGAGTTTTAATGTTGACGAGTCGATATATTGATCGGTTATATCGATTTTTTAAGATTCTATACGGAAAATCGACGATTTTTTGAGATTGAAATTGTTCATTTTTGATTCATGGATGACTAAATGCACCTAAAATGACTGTAATGCACCAACACCTACGTATTTTTTCTTGTAGAATCGATTTTTAACGTTAACGAGTCGATATGTCAATCGCCTTTATCGAATTTTTGCGATTTTTTAGGAAAATCAATGATATATTGGTATTGAAATTGGTTATTCTCCATCCGAGAACGGACAAATTTTGGGTTGGAACACATTTCCGGTCGGGTCGATTTCCAGTTCAGTCAAGTTTTCGATTGAGGTACATTTCCGGTCGAGTAGAAATTAAGATTTTCGATTCCCGGTGAAGTGAAATTTCGGGTGGATAACGAATACCGTTGATTGTGGTTTCCGGTCAGTTAGATTTCCGATCGAATCAAATTTGCAGTCGAGTCACATTTTCGACGGGGACACGTTACCGATTGGAAACAGTTTCCAGTTGGGTTAATTTGCGGTCACGTCAAATAAGGATGGATTACGGTTCCAGTGAATTGGAATGTTGGGATGGGTCAGATTTCAGGTTGGATCAAATTTCAAGTTTGGTCAAGTTTTCAATAGGAACACGTTTCCGGTCGAGCAGAGTTTACGGTTGACGATTTCGGGTTACATACAATTCAGCCGAACCAATCGTAGTCCGTTGCCTGAAGTCACTGATTTGCCTTCAAATGGCCGGGTATGCAATATTATAACCATGACACACGAATAGTGGTACCAGAATTTGGCATTAAGTTAACGGATAGATTTGAAGGCGCTCTTCTGTATCCTTTGTGAGTGGCTTTGGCTCCTTAGGGGCCAGGTAGGCGACCCACGGCTATGGCTTCTAAGGGGCCAGGGAGGAGGCCCCCGGCTTTTACTACATAGTTGCCAGGTGGGCGGCCCCCGGGTTGGACTGCTTAGGGGCCACGTGGGTGTTCCCAGGGTTGGGTTCCTTGGGGCCCAGGTGAGGGGCCCCCAGGTTGGGCTCCTTCGGGTTCAGGGGGCTGGCCCCCGGCTTTGGCTCCTTAGGATTCAGGGGGCTGGCCCCCGGGTTTGGCTCCGTAGGGTTCAGGGGGCTGGCCCCCGGGTTTGGCTCCTTCGGGTTCAGGGGGCTGGCCCCCGGCTTTGGCTTCGTAGGGTTCGGGGGGCTGGCCCCCGTGTTTGGCTCCTTAGGGTTCAGGGGGCTGGCCCCCGGGTTTGGCTCCGTAGGGTTCAGGGGGCTCGCCCCCGTGTTTGGCTCCGTAGGGTTCAGGGGGCTGGCCCCCGTGTTTGGCTCCTTAGGGTTCAGGGGGCTGGCCCCCGGCTTTGGCTCCGTAGGGTTCAGGGGGCTGGCCCCCGGGTTTGGCTCCGTAGGGTTCAGGGAGCTGGCCTCCGGGTTTGGCTCCGTAGGGTTCAGGTAGCTGGCCCCCGGGTTTGGCTCCGTAAGGTTCAGGGGGCTGGCCCCCGGGTTGGCTCCGTAGGGTTCAGGGGGCTCGCCCCCGGCTTTGGCTCCGTAGGGTTCAGGGGGCTGGCCCCCGGGTTTGGCTCCGTAGGGTTCAGGGGGCTGGCCCCCGGGTTTGGCTCCGTAGGGTTCAGGGGGCTGGCCCCCGTGTTCGGCTTCTTAGGGTTCAGGGGGCTGGCCTCTGGGTTTGGCTCCGTAGGGTTCAGGGGGCTGGCCCCCGGGTTTGGCTTCGTAGGGTTCAGGGGGCTGGCCCCCGTGTTTGGCTCCTCAGGGTTCAGGGGGCTGGCCCCCGGGTTTGGCTCCGTAGGGTTCAGGGGGCTGGCCCCCGGCTTTGCCTCCGTAGGGTTCAGGGGGCTGGCCCCCGGGTTCGGCTCCGTAGGGTTCAGGGGGCTGGCCTGCGGGTTTGGCTCCGTAGGGTTCAGGGGGCTGGCCCCTGGGTTTGGCTCCGTAGGGTTCAGGGGGCTGGCCCCCGGGTTTGGCTCCGTAGGGTTCAGGGGGCTGGATCCCGGGTTTGGCTTCGTAGGGTTCAGGGGGCTGGCCCCCGTGTTTGGCTCCTTAGGGTTCAGGGGGCTGGCCCCCGGGTTGGGTTCCGTATGGTTCAGGGGGCTGGCCCCCGGCTTCGGCTCCGTAGGGTTCAGGGGGCTCGCCCCCGGCTTTGGCTCCGTAGGGTTCAGGGGGCTGGCCTCCGGGTTTGGCTCCGTAGGGTTCAGGGGGCTGGCCCCCGGGTTTGGCTCCGTAGGGTTCAGGGGGCTGGCCTCCGGGTTTGGCTCCGTAGGGTTCAGGGGGCTGGCCCCCGGCTTTGGCTCCGTAGGGTTCTGGGGGCTGGCCCCCGGGTTTGGCTCCGTAGGGTTCAGGGGGCTGGCCCCGGGTTTGGCTCCTCAGGGTTCAGGGGGCTGGCCCCCGGGTTTGGCTCCTCAGGGTTCAGGGGGCTGGCCCTCGTGTTTGGCTCCTTAGGGTTCAGGGGGCTGGTCCCCGGGTTGGGCTCCGTAGTGTTCAGGGGGCTGGCCCCCGGGTTTGGCTCCGTAGGGTTCAGGGGGCTGGCCCCCGGCTTTGGCTCCGTAGGGTTCAGGGGGCTGGCCCCCGGGTTTGGCTCCGTTGAGTTCAGGGGGCTGGCCCCCGGCTCTGGCTCCGTAGGGTTCCGGGGGCTGGCCCCCGGGTTTCACTCCGTAGGGTTCAGGGGGCTGGCCTCCGGGTTTGGCTCCGTAGGGTTCAGGGGGCTCGCACCCGGCTTTGGCTCCGTAGGGTTCAGGGGGCTGGCCCCCGGGTTTGGCTTCGTAGGGTTCAGGGGGCTGGCCCCCGTGTTTTGCTCCTTAGGGTTCAGGGGGCTGGCCCCCGGCTTTGGCTCCGTAGGGTTCAGGGGGCTGGCCCCCGGGTTTGGCTCCGTAGGGTTCCGGGGGCTGGCCTCCGGGTTTGGCTCCGTAGGGTTCAGGTAGCTGGCTCCCGGGTTTGGCTCCGTAGGGTTCAGGGGGCTGGCCCCCGGCTTTGCCTCCGTAGGGTTCAGGGGGCTGGCCCCCGGGTTCGGCTCCGTAGGGTTCAGGGGGCTGGCCCCCGGGTTCGGCTCCGTAGGGTTCAGGGGGCTGGCCCCCGGGTTTGGCTCCGTAGGGTTCAGGGGGCTGGCCCCCGGGTTTGGCTCCGTAGGGTTCAGGGGGCTGGCCCCCGGGTTTGGGATTCGTAGGGTTCAGGGGGCTGGCCCCCGTGTTTGGCTCCTTAGGGTTCAGGGGGCTGGCCCCCAGGTTGGGCTACGTAGGGTTCAGGGGGCTCGCCCCCGGCTTTGGCTCCGTAGGGTTCAGGGGGCTCGCCCCCGGCTTTGGCTCCGTAGGGTTCAGGGGGCTGGCCTCCGGGTTTGGCTCCGTAGGGTTCAGGGGGCTGGGCCCCGGGTTTGGCTTCGTAGGTTTCAGGGGGCTGGCCCTCGTGTTTGGCTCCTTAGGGTTCAGGGGGCTGGTCCCCGGGTTGGGCTCCGTAGTGTTCAGGGGGCTGGCCCCCGGGTTTGGCTCCGTAGGGTTCAGGGGGCTGGCCCCCGGCTTTGGCTCCGTAGGGTTCAAGGGGCTGGCCCCCGGCTTTGGCTCCGTAGGGTTCAGGGGGCTGGCCCCCTGCTTTGGCTCCGTAGGTTTCAGGGGGCTGGCCCCCGGGTTTGGCTCCGTAGGGTTCAGGGGGCTGGCCCCCGGGTTTGGCTTCGTAGGGTTCAGGGGGCTGGCCCCCGTGTTTGGCTCCTTAGGGTTCAGGGGGCTGGCCCCCGGGTTTGGCTCCGTAGGGTTCAGGGGGCTGGCCCCCGGCTTTGGCTCCGTAGGGTTCAGGGGGCTGGCCCCCGGGTTTGGCTCCGTAGGGTTCAGGGGGCTGGCCCCCGGGTTTGGCTCCGTGGGGTTCAGGGGGCTGGCAATTCGTACTCCGTTTCCTGATGTCAATGATTTGCCTTCAAATCGCCGGATATGCAAAATGGCTGCCTTGACGCACGAATAGTGGTATCAGAACTTTGCATTAAGTTTATGGATCGATTTGAAGGCGCTCTTCTGTATCGATTGTGAGTGGCCTTATAAAATTATGTTGACCAAATATTTTATAATTTTGGTTTTTAAATCGAGCCGCATAATCGAAAATTGCCGAGGAATATTATTTTAAATAAATATTAAGATTCTTTTGGTCCCTTAATCTTATTTCAAAGAAGAGAGTGCAGGCGGCTGCATCAGATTCTGTATTGTAACGCCCATGGTTTGGTCATGTTATTCTGAATTTCTGATGCGAAACTGAAAGAGTCGTGGTTTACAAGATCGCAACTTACTTAAAAGCGGTTGTGAAGTTAAAATAATTCGCATTGATGAAATGAGCTTTCTTTGATTGACTGTGAATAATCAAAATTGAAGAAAAGTTACTTTGTCCACTGGTCCATTAGGAAAGTGTGAAGCATTGATGGATGGAGCATCGAATACCAACTTAATCTTATCTTATCAGGAATTTTAAGTGTGAAACACATTTTCCAGTCTTAAAGGATTCAAATCCACCAACAAGTTTAAAACACTGATTGCAAAGATGCGTGTCTCCTGATAAAGTGTCGATTTTTAGTGCTAAAAACGCGAATCTCGGGATTCCTGCCGTATTTTCTAACAGTTCGAGAAATTATTGAAACTGCTGATGTAGTTTCAAAAAACATCTTATTTTTGCTATCCTCAAGAATTATTTCCCTTCAACCGACAATAAAGAGGAAAGCAGACAGTTTTTTTACTCTCCTGAAAAATCGTGTTTTCCGAGATTCGCACTTCTGCACTTTCACCATCGATGAAGTGCTTTAGTATTGTTTAATTGAAATTTGCACAGGCAGTGATTTTGATTGTTCAGTCAGTAATTTTTTTTCTCATTAATTTCTTCACAAACATTTTCAGGTATATATGTTGCAGGTAATTAGCAATCGCAGGCAAATTGCAATCTATTCGTGTTTAATCAACAAATTAAATCGTTTTAAAGTGAAAAAACGAGATTGGAAGTAGGGATTATTATGCTTTGAATTCAAACATGCGTTAGCCCCTTCTTCTTGGATACATAGTTCCAGCTAGCACACTCACGAGTTCGTGAAATGTCATCAATAATCTGTGTTAGGTTCGGTTAAGCAACTAACTCATTGGCAAAGCGGAGAGTATCGCTGGATTTGAAGGCGTAAAGAAATCTTTACTACATCGATGTTATCGTAATTATAATTTGTACGGAAATCGCCGGCGACTGCTGACTTGCTGCGACTTATACACTGATAAAAATTTCTGAGATATTTATTTCCATCTTTAAGTTTACATGTACTTTTCTCTCTTCTTATCAGCATGTGTGTTTCTTTTTTGTTTCTGGTGCATCCCTCGGAATTCTTGGATTCAAAAATCGAAAATCCTCCTGGACAACGCGAATCGTCAATTAAAAAATTGGGATCGTACAATTAAACGGGACACTTAGTGCACTTAACTGAATCTTTAAATTAACTGGAAACTCAAATTTACCACAAATCCTACTCAACCGAAAACCTGATCTAACCCTGCTAACCAAAACTTTACGCAACCGGTGATCTTACCCACCGGAAACTCAAATCAATCGACCAGTCCTCCGGCCGAATTTTACTTTTAAGCGGAAATCGACAACCATAAACTCTGCTCGATCGGAAACGTGCTCCAATCGAAAACTTGACCCAATAGGAAATTAGATCCAACCTGAAATCTGACCCATCCCCAAATTCCAATTCACTGGAACCGTACTCAATCCGTATTTGACGTGACCGAAAATTAACCCAACTGGAAACTGTTTCCAACCGGTAACGTGTCCCTGTCGAAAATTTCATTCGACTGAAAATTTGATTCGATCGGAAATCTGACCGACCGGAAACCACAATCAAAGGGATTCGTTATCCACCCGAAATTTCACTTCACCGGGAATCGAAAATCTTAATTTTTACTCGACCGGAAATGTGCCCAATCGAAAACTTGACTCAACTGGAAATCGACCCGACCGGAAATGTGTTCCAACCCAAAATTTGGTTGTTCTCGGATGGAGAATAACCAATTTCAATACCAATATATCATTGATTTTCCTAAAAAATCGCAAAAATTCGATAAAGGCGATTGACATATCGACTCGTTAACGTTAAAAATCGATTCTGCAAGAAAAAATACGTAGGTGTCAACAGTCATATTAGGTGCATTTAGTCATCCATGAATCAATATTGAACAATATCAATCTCAAAAAATCGTCGATTTTTCGTAGACACATCAATTCAACAAGAAAATAACGAAAAATAAGGCCGGAGTTTGACCCCTTTGCCGTCCCTCCCCCATAACTCGAAAACTGCTCGTATATTCATCTTGAAATTTTTTCCTGATTTTTCTTTTATTATAAGCTTCCACTTAAACCTTGGTTCGATGGTTGAATCGAATACCGAAAAAGGGGCGAAATTTTGGGAGGCTCTTTCTGACGAATAGAAAATGCATTCAATGTATTTGTCAAGCTACCTGATTCAGAGGACGTTCCAAATCTGTGCGATGGATTCTTACGGTGATTCGATGGACGCCATATTTTGTGTCAGAACGACCTGCGATGTATCCTTGCGAAGTACCTTAAGAAGAATTTTTGGGTTATATTTTTGGGTAGTACAGCGTAGAAGTGGCTCAGAATTTGATATAGAGCGATCGGGCTTGCACCGGGTTATTGTCGCAACGCTGTGCTGAAAAATCAGCACTTTCACCTTTTTGACCCCATGTAATCCACAGTTCTTGAAGTGACGTAGCAACCTTGCACAGGGTTTACGTCGAATTTTGAAAAATCACGTCAGTTTGTAAATTCGCCTATTTTCACCTAGATTGAAGCGGATTTACGTGACGGCGAGCTAGCAAACTGACGTTACTTTTCATTAATCCAGCCTTAAATTAGTCCGCGACAGAATTATAAAGTGACTTCCTATTTCATAATTTTCAAGGTAGATTGGACCAAGACGATTCCAAAGCGTAGTACTTAGGAACTTAGGTCCAAAAATGAAGTTTTGAGAAAATGGGCTTAGTGCTCGTTTGAGCTATGAGTTTTATTGATTTAATTCCTTTTCTGTTTAGCGTGAAATATTGAAAAATCACCTAAAGACTAGTAATATTATCATCAATCGATAGAAGCGCAATCAATTGACAAATTTCACCTTTAACTGTAAAAAATCGACTAATTTATGTCATTTAAGGCAAGAGACTCGTTAATTGAATCGCCATAAAGCCATAAGTGAGAAAATTTGTCGAGGAAGAGACAATGATGGAACTGGAAGCTAGCTTACCTGGCCGTTTTCTGGCGGATCCCCGTTGCCAAACGTGGAGGCGACGACCAATAAGAGTGCCTCGTGCTCTAAATTACTCATGTCGTAATCTGACATACAGCAAACCTGCAACAGAAAAACCGGGTTTTGTCGTCAGGAGTTTTTCCTCCTTAAAATATTGCGCGGGTAATTTTTGAAATTTTAAATGGTGATGTACTCTCAAGAACGTGTTAAAAAAGTGCCCACTCTTCAGATATTTTGTTCAAATGCACCCTAGACGATACCCTCCCCAAGTAGCAGTGAGTAGTAAGTTGCCGTTTGATTAAAGAATGTATCGCGATTTTATTGACGTCGATTTATTGCAATATTATCGGATGAAAAATTGCAATATATTGGAATTTCATAGCATACTAAATCGGCGATGAAATTTCAATTTCATCAATGACGATTTATCACAGTGCTATCAAACAAAAAATCGTGTTAAATTCATATAAGATTTCAATTTCATCGAACACTATTCTATGGTAGTTGGCAATGTGGCGTAGCAAAGTTTACTTTTGACCATTGAAAAATGCCACTATTTTGAAGCTCCTCATAGTTGAAAAACCAACTTTAGTTGATCTCTTTTTATTTTTTGTGGCACAGTATTATCGGTAGGTGTTATTGTGCCCAAAAATGACAGGTTCAATATGAAGGTCATAGGTAACATGAATAATTTAATGAAATCTTAAGATGGAACTTTGTTCATAATCAGCAGTGAAGTTACCTGCGAATGAAATGCATGCCCAAGGATTTCTCCCAATTTTTTGGCGTACAACTCGGATTTTCCAGTTTCGGTGGCGTAAAGAACAGTTGCTTTTATTCTTCGCTGCAGCGCACGCCCGAACAACTTTGAAGTAAATTTCACAGCTCTGCAATTAAAAATCGATTCGTTAAATCTTACATCTAAAATTGATCAGCCATTCGTTAGTGATTTCATGTTTTGATACTAAAAAATAATGAACGAACTCACCATATGTTTACCAGTAACTTAGGTTATAGGACATTTCGTCAAAGATTTTTTGTCCGTAGATTACGTTCGTGCGTTTTTTTGGCAGGCTAGTTTTGATTCACGTACCAATTGAGACCCAAAGTTAATTTTGGTCCTCATGTAAATACAAACGACAATAATTGCTCACGATGTTTTTGGAATGAATAATGTCTTTAAGGAATGAGGGTTTGCTCGTTTCTTTTTGTTTGTTTGGTCCAACGGAGAAAAATGTATTTGTGAAATTTTTGGTAAAGATGGGGAAACGTTAATTCCATAGGGGAAAATTCACTGAAACTCTCTGAACCTCTTTGATGCAACAGGACTCAATTATCTTTCAAGAAAATCTCACCTGGTTATACCTGAACTAAATAAACCTTTTGATTCGTCTCAGCTAAACGCTCCTAGATTTTTCCTGTGCACGATAACTTCGCGACGGCGCGGCGCTCTGTGCCACTATTTCGCCACGGAGGTGTTGCACAATACCATACGAGATTGAAGGCACCCCAAAGTATCGTGATTGATGGCATCTTTCAGAGGCTCGAAGTTCCCTCACAAATTAAATCGAGTGACGACGACAAAAAGAGAGCGGGAGTCGAAAAACTTACTAATTCCTAGTATCTGTGCGTTATCATAAGACGTTTAGCAATAACGTTTAGCATGATTTTTGAACTTCATTAGAGGAAAAAGTGACTTGATTCAAGCAGAAATATGCTCATATTTACCGCCGAGAAGATTTCCTCATGATCAATAAAGAAAATAATGCTTGTTTAAGGAAGAAAAGATGCTCTTATAAAAAGGAAAATCACATCAAGTAGAAACCCGCTTTCATTCAGTTTTTTTGATTCGTGATTCAAAATAAAATCTTCTTTGCGGCATACTCAAGAATGTTTCTGCCTAAATCCATTCACTTTTTTCTCTAATGAAATCAAAAAATTATGCTAAACGTTATTAAATACACCGAAAAAAAAGGGAAGTTAAATTAACATTCTGAATGTAAAAAAAGTGTGCGAGAACTTATAAATGCTGAATTACCCGCCACAGCACTTAATTTTACATCTTGGCATTGCTCAAGTAACTGCTGTGGCAGGTATTTTAGCATTTTGTAAGTTCTCGCACACTTTTTTTACATCCAGAATGTTAAATTAACTTCAATTTTTTTTCGGTGTACTGATATTAGAACTAAGTGAAGTTTTTTGACTACTGCTCTCTTTTTACGCCGTAGTATCTTGATGTATCTTGCTAGGAAAGCTCCGTACTCTTAAAGGATGCATGTCATTCTTATTGATATGTTGGAGCGCCTTTAATTTCGTATGATACTGTACCACACCTGTGTTGCGAAATAGTTGCTTGAGGCGCCGTGGCGCGCGGCGTGGCGGGCGAGGAGGACTATCGCGATACGCGCACGGGCGCCTACAAACCTAACAGGGATACTTCACGCATTGCGCAATGCGTGAAGTATCCCTGTTAGGTTTGTAGGCGTCAGTGCGCATGTCGCGTTAGCAGCACGCCGCTTCGCTTTGTGTTGGACTCTAATATTTAAACTCGCGGAGTCAGCATTTTTCAACTCATAATTTTGAAATGTTCGCACACTCCGCCTGGATTATTCCCATTTATATTGATGAAAAAAAAAATCCATGTTTTAAAGGGAAATATACTGTATGTTTTGAAAATATTAAGGTGGTGCCGTGTCGAATTTTATGATTTCCAAACCACTTTAATTTTTTCTTTTGTATTTCGTGCTATTACTGTGCTGCAGCGTGGTGTCCGCGCAACCAAACGCTCAAATTTGCGCGTATTCCACTCTAAAGGATAGATGTACACATGGGTTAAAACCGAAGATTGCGTGCTTCTTGGTGAAGATGAATCAAAAGAAGAAAGGAACATTTCATTTAACAAATGAGTCAGCATAACGACACCTCCTTCTCTCTCAATTTTCTCATTTCGATACTGTCAAAATAATTTTATGTACGGAATAAAATATAACGCTTGAACCAAGTCACTGTTGCTTATTTTATGCGTGGACGTAAACCACTGGACGAAACAGGTGCGCGGACAAAAAATCGTTGACGGAATATTCTGAAACCAAAACTAAGTCATACAAATCAGATGAAGTAAAAGATAAAAATAAGTAAATAAATATTTTTAAAAAAAAAAACAAGAACGAAAAAGAAATGATACTTATCTAATTTCTTAGGAGAATGTACAGGGAGACAATTTTTTTATTGATTAAAGCAATTTAAAAAAGAAAAAAACCATGCATTTTTTTTTATTTTTTTAGAATCAAGCATTCTAAGTTTGGAGAGACACAAAAACTGCGGAACATCCTAAGAGTGGTTCGAAAAAATTGAAGGCTTAAAAATTAGTAATTCAAACATATGTGATGGATTTGAATTAAAGAACAAAAGGTTACCACTGAATAAAACATTTTAAACAAAAAAAGCTATAAAGAAAATGTATGTAGAAAGGAAGCGTCAAAAAGTGTTTGCAAATCATCGCGAAGATTCCAAAGAGACCCCTTCCCTTAAATTCCAAGGTGAGAAAAATGTTTGGTCTCACGTCTAAAAAAATTAAATGTATCACAAACAGAAAAAGCTGGTCTTCCTCTCGCTTATTTATTCAGCAAAGCTGCGAGACGAAGCTCAGAAAACGCGATTTATTCTGCATTGTGCTGTAATCAGTCCACATCCAACCCATTCATCGAAAGGATGAATGCACTCGAAGTCGAATTCATTTTGTAATTTTTAGATTTTTAAATTGCTGGAAACCGCCTCTGGGATTAAATTAATCCGCTCTTAAGCTTCGTCTGTCTTTCTCAGGCCTTACTTTTAGGTGTCTCAATCCGTGAGAATTTGTAAAGAAGACTGCAAACGTAATTCGGGTTTTCATCAGCCTTCTCTACGTGTTATGTCCTAAAGTGTTTCACTAAAGTGGATTTTTCTTCCAAAAAAAAAAAAAAAAAAAAAAAAAAAAAAAAAAAAAAATGCTGCAAGTTCATTCCAACGATCTAACCAGTACGATGAAGAGAGGCCGCACCATCAACTCAAGTGTCGTAACAGGGTTTTAGGTAACGGCGAAGTTCGGCGATGATTGATTAGCATCTTGCTAGGCGTTTTTTTGGGCTTACTAATAATTACTGGCTGCCTCATTTAGCATTTTCAAATCAAATTTTCCAAACTAAAATTTGTTCCACCTGAATTCAATTGTACACTTTTTGTCCAAAATTGTAAAGATTTTGGTATAAAGACGGAAGAAGAACCAGTGAAATATTCAGTGAAAAATGCCCAATATTCTCGTTGTAAGAAGTAGCCGCGAGGCGAGGCTTGCATTATCGACTATCGATATTTTCTCATTCGAAACCACGGTAAGGAATCGATCTTTAAGGCGCTCGTTGTGAACACCGTGATAATCGATCTTTTTCCAAAGTTTTAACCAGTAAATCGATCGATTCATCGCAAAGCACGACTTAGTACTAGTAAGCATGCAATTGGCTAGGGGAAGTTTGGCAACATTGTGATGAAGTTACGTTCTTTCTTGAGGAAACGACGTATTCTGCCGTGCTTAAGAACTTGAACATTCGAGAGTTGTCTAATTTCCAACCGTAAAATATTTAATTTTGAGGAAAGTTATGAATATTTTTCCTTGAAATTTTCACGTCTTTCAGATTAAATTGCGAACAAAATCGTCTGAAATTTTCGAGGAAAAATATTCACAATTTTCCCAGTAAATTTATTCTTTATTGAGGGCGATATGGCAACGTCTGGAGCCTCATACGGCGTTTTTCCGTAGCAGTATTATCGCGAAGCTACAGGTCCCTCTAATGAAGCTTACTTGACGTTTACGTCTTTGACGTCACGTGCGACGGAACGGCAGCTGGAAATGACGGAGGTGGCAGCGACGACGCAACGGTGTCATAGTGTCATCCTTGCAGTTGATTCGTCCGCGGGGAAATTGCGAATCAACGCCAGCAGGCCAGACTGCCCCTCCGGGCAAAACCGCGCATCCCCCACGGAGATTCTACTACAAATCCGCGGTTCTTCCACTACGAGGTCCTCCGCCCTGCAGCTCGGCTTTACGACGTCGTTCCGACTTCAATTGGGAATTTGAGTGCCTCATTCTAATTTAAGAATCTACGCTCCTTCTACTCCCGCGCGCGATAACCGCCCAAGTCCCAACGGAGACCCCGTGCACTTACGCCGTTTTCGCACGGCGGGTGAATTGGGCGTCCGTCCCCTTTACCAGCTAGTTTCGCCTTTACGATTCATTTACATGCAATCCGTTTCATTTTGTAAGCTTAAAGACGAGTTTTGGTGTCTCGGCTGCACGCGTGAGAACGGCGTAAAAACGAAATTTATACCCCCCGCCCGTTTTCCTGGAAAATTTTACTCAGAAACGCGGAAACAAAAATGCTCGGATTATGGTGTTTTGGAGGGCCGTCCCCTAAATTTTTGAAAATTCTACTTAATTTTATCAACATATTTACATTAAGTGGCGTGGCGTGCTTGCGATTGATCTGCCATTTTTACCTTCGGAAAAGGATCTATAAACAGGGTGTTCGCGACGAAGACCTTCATTGTCGATTCTGTATCATAGGTTTAAATGAGGAAATTTCGATAATCGATCATGCAAGCCTCGCCTTTCGTTTGATTCACCCATGGTAAAAAGCCTTTGGAAGTGTATCGTTGGATATGGAAAGAAATTAAACAATATAACAATTAATTTATCTCTTGGTGGTAACAACCGTGGAAAAGGATGTTTAAAACAAATTATAGTGAAAGGCGTCCTATAAGTTTGGCTTTAGGAAAATCTGTATGGATATTTTCTAATTTTACTGACAAAATTCACGAATAAAAGCCATAAACATTACTAGTTTTAAGAGTTTTTTTTTTCGAGATTTGTATACGGATTTTATGCGATGTAGAACTGCAGTGAATCTTTTAAGGGTGTTTTGAAAAATAAAAACCGTCCCTAACATGTTATTTACCTGTTGTAAATTTTACTTAAAAAATACCAAAAATAACTCGTCTTAAACCTTAATTTTAATCAATATTCTTATGATAGTTGTTGTTTTTTAATTTTACGAGTTTTTCTTTTAAGTTTATTTTTTTAGTATAAGTTGCTGCTAAGAACTTGTCAAAATTGCACGCAGATCAAGGTGGACCTATAAAAAATATCCAACTACAACTTAAAAGTGAGACATTAGCAATTTTGGCATCTGTTAGTGAAAATTCCTGCACGTCAAAAAACAAAAGTCTGCTTGAATCAAAAGTGCTACACTAATTTCAATACTCTTCACGACTATAAATAATTTATTTCACTGTTCTTTCCATATAGCAGTTGCAAGCACCGTGAATAAGAAAATGAAAGTCTTTGCAAAATTGAAATTTATGTTTTCTGAACGAGAAGTTTCACCTCAGTGACCGCTTTGATTTTGGTCTCTTTTTTTCCAAACGGGAAGTTTCGATTCATCGAACGCTTATAACGTACTTCTAAGTAGATTTTTGAAATTCTCAGCATGTTTGACGGGCTCTACGTTTAAGTATAGAGAAAAACAACTTTGAAGAAAAAAGAAATCAGTCCGAAGAAGAAAAATTGTGTTGCACTTACCTTGCTATTTGCTTGAAGTGGAATTTCCTTCGTGGCTTTTTAATGAGCCCTTTTCCGACCTCCTTTCCCTTCTTCCATTCGTGCGTTTTCCAGGCTGGCTCCTATAAATGTAAAAAGAATGACTGATTACCCAATAATTTGGTAATCATTATACTCAAATTGTGTCGTACCATCCTCGACCATATATAACTATAAAATTTATCTGAAATTTTAATGGCTAATCATAAATTAAGTTACGCTGCTAAAGTATACTAACTGATGTAGAAATCTCAGAAAAGCTCGAATTTTTCGCGCAGACTGTGTATTTAGATGAAAATTTTAGACTTTCTCGATGCGACCACCGTGATTTTAAAGTCGATTTTTTAAGTCGTCGAAACCACCCTAATCTTCACTTTCACAGAAGATTGCAACAGATTCCTCATCAATACATCGTTACTTTAGGAAAAGAGAAATCTATACTTAGCATCGATACTATTCAGCGTCGATACTCATGTCTGGGTGTCGATATTGTCGATACTACGTGATGGAAACGATCTTTGCATAGATTTATAGCGATTTACAGATTTACAGCCTGGCGCTACTACTCGACCTGAGAATGATGAATGGCGGGGAATTTAAAAAAAAATGTAGTTGGCTAGTGCTATTGACATACACAAAAATAAAATGCAAAAAATACAAAAAAAAACAAAAAAAACTATAAATATAAAAATATTTGTGTTCTTGTGTTACTTTTGGTTAGTACAGGAAATGAAACACTAATCAACCCAAATTTTGTGCTGATTTTGGTACAGCTTGCAGCAAATTTAGCGCAGATAATAATTAAGAAACTAGGGAACCCCAGAGTCAATCGAAGGCTTGAGTTAATTTGCGTTTTACTTCCAGTATCAACCAAATTTTAGTGTTGCAATTTCTCTCCGTGTGAGGAGACAGTGCATGTTTGATTGGAAACGCACTCAGGCTTACAAATATCGAGAGGTATCGATACTTGGAAATTATTAAGAGGTATCGATACTTGGAAATTATCGAGAGGCATCGATACTTTTTCAAGTATTGATATCCTTAGTCTTGAAGGGTGAAACTGATCGTCTGACAATAAGTGTACCTGATATTCGTAGCAGGGTCGGAGTTGGTAGAAGGCCATTTCTTGATGGAAGACGGGGAGGAGAGAGCCGGACATGGGCGGGACGATCCAGACCCAGTCGCTGGGGCACCCGTTGCGCAGTCGCAGCTCGTTCTCGTAGTGCTTCATGAACGTCTCGGCCGCCGTGTGGTGGTCCACAATCGTCACTCCGTGCAGCTGTAACACGCATCATACCGTTTTACACAGGGATCAACATGTAGCTTCAAGAATAAGCTGGCATACTTCGCAAATTTAGCACACACAAAAAATAACTAGAAATAGGGCTAGAATACTGCATGTAACGTCACTGAAAAAAAATATGGTACATTTGGACGGCGTTAAACAGAAAGGAACCAATAGCCACATCAGCTATTGCCAAAAACAGGGAAATTGTATTTTTTTACGTGAGACCGTTCGTGCTGATTCTTTTCAAAATTTTGATGAATTTGCTTTGTATTATGGAGAACATTCACTGAAATTTGCACAAAATTCCGCACGACCGTTTTCATGTAAAAAATTAAATTGCCCGATCAAATTTGGCAATAGCTCACGTGGCTTTGGTTCATTTCTGTTTAACGCCGTCCATTTTACCATACTCTGACACAGTGATACGAATATGGTAATAATCACCAGATTCTATGGTAGCATTTACCATATTATGATATTTACCACCAGAGTTGTGGTGAATACTACTATAATTCTGGTTATTTTCACTATATAGTACCACTGCGTAAAAAAGGCTTACAGTAGATATTACCATACTTTTATCGAGATGAAAGATCAGTGCGGGGCCCACACTATTCTGCAGGGAAATCCAAGCCAAAAATTATATTTGCTCGTAAATCGTTTGATAAGATGATAAAATATGCGATAATGCCACGCCACTGCAAGATACACTATTTGCGGTGAGCTTACCTGGAAACTGTGGAGCACTGCAATGTTACACTCGACAAGAGCCTTGTCCTTCCATAACGTTACATTTGACCGAGTGTCCAAATCCATTTTTTGAGCAATTTTCTGAGAAAAAAAAATATATTAGTGCTGAACTTTGAAAATTATGAGGCAATTTCAAACCATTTGTTGGGCCGAGCAGTGAGTTGTGTTACATGTGCGCAAACAGATAGAACATGTCGACGGTGAAACTTCAAGACCACGTTTCTCTTTTGCTGTGTTTAAAAATCTCCACTTATATCTTATTAATTTGATGGAAAGCAAATCAACATCGTCCTTTGAGGTTTTTCCAAACTTTACACAGCACAAGGAGAAAAAATTACGATAGTTTTTCAGAAGTGACATTGGAGGTTTTCCATTTAAAAAATGGATAATGACAGGGAGTCTGCAACGTCGTAAACCGAGATACGTGGTTTGGGACAGTGGCGAGGGGTGAATGTTCGATTGTCGATACCTCCCCATTTGAAGCTGTGGTAAAGATTCGATTATGAAAGTGTTCGTTGTGAACACCCTATTTATCGATCCTTTTCCATAGGTTTAAAGGACAGATTCGATGCATCTCAAAGTGCGCCACGCCACTGGCTCAGGAGTATCACCAGGGATGTGACCAAAACTATTATATCTCGCTACGTGGAAAGTTAGGATGGAGCGTACTGACGGATGACGTAATCTTCCTTTTTTCTCTATAAAAAGGATCATTCAAGAATGTGCGAGAAAGAAATGTTTACAGATGAATGATACATGTGATATTTTTTTAGGAAACTCAGCGCTTTTCAAAAATTTTATAAAATCACGTGCGTTAGTGCGCCTTCAATTTCATCCGATACTATGCAACACCTCGGTGTCGCAATAGTTGCACGAAGCGCCTTCAAGGATTTTACGTAGCCCGGATGATGCTGGAATTTTATCGGGTGCGGTCGTGCGATTTGTACGCGTTTGAAGTTCGAGCCTGTTGGAATTATATTGTGATATCACTTGAAAGCGATTTTATTGAGATAAAATCGAGACAAGATCGGGGATAATCGTCCAGATGTTGACGATCCTAGCGATTGTATCACCAAAAAATCGTAAAAAATCCAACTTAAAATCTATACACCGCAATTTTTCGTTTTTTTTTTTTTGGTATATCACCCATTTTTATTCATTTAATATTCAGTGGTACTTATCTAACTAGAACATGGTGTCTAGAAGTTTTGACCAGGCTCATTCCCTGATTTTCCCTGATTTTCTCTGATTTTTAGGAGCTCATTCCCTGATGAGAAACCGAAGTTTTCTCCCACTTCCGCGGGAATTTCTGGGGGAACAGAATATAATTCTTCAGGGTTCCATGTATGAATATCGTTTAATTAATCTTTCAGCCATTTCTTTGGGGCACATTCAAAATTTTAATTCGGATAGCGTTACTGATGTTTATATTATTTGGTCAATGAAAGCTTCTCCATTCTTTTGATGGTTTGAAGCTTCAAATGTGTAATTCTAGAAGTCAATAATGGCGCTCGGTCAGATTAGACCGCCAAATTTGAAGACGAAATGAGCCCTGAGCGGTAGAGATTCCCGGTTTTAGGAACAGATTCCCCGATTTTTCCATGATTTTCCCTGTAAATTTTCATTCCCTGATGAATTCTGGTTTTCCCGTTCTGGACACTATGAACTAGAATCACACTGCGTCTCTATGAATAAGAGAGGGTCGACCTAATTACGTATCCGTAAGCTGTTAGTTTCGCTTGATTTTCGCCTTGAAATGAACATCAACTTTAAAGTTACGACGATGGAAAGGATTCAAACCTTCTCACACTGTTAGCCGTGCGTAACAGGTGTCTTGCAAGCCTCAAGTTTCCTTTGAACTTGGGCTATTAATTGCAAAGTTCTGAAACTCTGACGGTGCGTAAGCTTGTGACAACGGAGAAAGTTTCTCCGGGTAAGTAACGGCTCCCGAGGAAGTAAAAATCATCATGCCATTGTTTGAAATAAATCTGCACCCATGAATAATGTTTTAAATCGACTCTCCGAAAACTTCCTCTTGTCTTCTTTTTTAACTCCGCTTTTCTGCTCTCGACCTTTGGGCCTATTGTTGAGTGGGTTTATACATTGTAATGTAGAATATCGTATTATAATATTGTAGAGTGGTCATATAGTTGTAAATTTATAGACGGTAAAACTAAGAGAGCCCGTATCTTCATTAAGGAAAATCAAAATTCTCGTTTCTTTTTACTGCCCCTAGGAGATAATTAAAGGTATTTCTGCCTGAAGGAACTATGTGTATTAAGACATGAGCCCTGAGACCCATAGGAATACATGCATATCAGGGCTCACGTCATAATGCACATAGTTCCGTTTGGCAGAAATACGTCCAATTCGTTGTTTCCTGCACGGAGGAACGTAACTCTACTTCAACGTTGCAAAATTGAATCAAACAATTTAATTTTTGACAAGAATGTGCCTGTGCAATTCTTGTCTAACATTTGTCTGATTATTGCATGAGAGCAGGAGAAATATCAGTGAAATTTTCAATCAGAAAATTCAAAATGCTCCTGGTAAAAATTCAATTTGTTTGGAAAAATTTGGCAACATTGAAATGCAATTACGTTATTTCGGGAGAGAAACGAGGAATAATCAGATACTTTGTAGGAATGGTTTCTGTAAATTTTGATGAAAAATGGACGTAAAAATTTCAATGAGATATTATGGTTGGTTGTCTTTTAAAAAATAAAATGTAATAAGAAATTTTTAAACAATGCAATTCCAAGTAACACTGGTTGCAATAAACCGCAATCGCGTGGTGAAATTACTGCTATTGTATTAGTCAGGGTGTAGGATTGTGTATGTTACCTATTTACGAATGGACCACTAGACAAGGTACGAATTTAAGCAATATGATACATGTTTCTTAACCAAAATTTCACGTAGAACACGATTAGCGCAACGAATATTACTGAAACTAACTCCTAACGAAGATTTCAACGTTTTTATTTCACATTGGTTACGAGGAATTTGAACTGCCCACTCACAAGAAACTCAAAGCTCTACTCGAGTCAAATCGCGCGCTACAACGGTTTCAGCAAGCTTCTCCATCGAGCAGTGTTCATTTCCCATCATATGTTGTTTAAACCACAAGAAATTTGCTATAGCTGAGCCAAACCGTCAAGATTGAGGTTTCTAGATTTTTATATCGCAGAGTCTATCATGATGAACGTTTGGCGCGCGATGTGAATCACGTAGAGCATTGAGTTTTCATAAGCGGGCGGTTTGAATTCACGCATCATGAATCATTAAATATCTTCGTAAGGAGTTGATTTCGGTAACTTTTGCTATGAGCATCGCATTTTACGTGAACTTTTGGTTCAGAAACATGTATCAGAATGCTGAAATTCGTACCTAGTCTAGTGGTCCATTGACGCGGCTCCTATTATTGAAATGTATTGCAATAAAATTTAAATAAGCTTCCATTTTATTTTACATTGCAAATTGCAAATTATAAAATACATTTCTTACACATTTTTTGATTGTTTAGCAGTGGCATTTATTGACCAAGTAATGGAAAAATTTCGCAATCGTAATTGGGAATACCGCAATCATTAAGGCAGGTATACTCCACCCAATGGGGTTTCATCTTGTAATATGGACCTACAATTTCTGGCTAACCTTACAAATAGCGTAAGTGCCAGTAGTTTTCATACGCAAAATAGGTGCTTTTTTAGGGGAGGCGGAAATGGTGGTTCCATATTGCAAAATGTAGTCCAATTATAGGAAGCATTGGATCTCGAAGACCCGCCTCGGCCAGATTAGCGTTAATTTTCAATTTTCTCTACTTAAGAAAAAGTAATTTTCAGAAGTTATGTTAGCAGAGCCGTGGGCCGTGGCCTGATTTTTCATGAAAATTAGGCATCACTGTGTGCGAGACTCGCGAGTTAAATTATCCGTTAAATCGAGCGGAGAGCGCAAAAATATCTTCGTTCTAAGTTGCAGCTGAGGATAAGCCCGATAGAGGGGGCGGCAGTCGTCAGCGTCTAAGCAAACATACTAAAATGAGATGGGGTCGCACTTGAAACTTCGGGTAATTTGCCCCCCCCCTCTCCCACTCCTGCCCCAAATCCTCGATAAGCTCTTAATATAATTAACTCTTCAGGAAACGGTCAGCCTGAGCTTTTTGGCCCGACTCTCGGCATAGGCGGCGTTACTGTCGCTCAAACATGATCAATTTTACCCTTAAATTGCAGATATAGACCGTTAGACAAGGCTGAAAAATATGCACCACAATACATCCTCGACAAAAGTTTACGTCGTGTACAGTGAAGAATTTGAAAACAATTCTGTTGAAATAGATTCGTGCAATACTCGTAATTCCAACCCCCTGCTCTAAAAAAATGCGCGCATTGGCGCCTACAAACCTAAGGGGATACTTCAAGCATTGCGCAATGCGTGAAGTATCCCCTTAGGTTTGTAGGCGCCAATGCGCGTTTCGCGCTGGCAGCATGCCGTTCCGCTCTGTGTTAGGCTCTAATATTGAAACTCGCGAAATCAGCGATTTTCAACTCATGATTTTGAAATGTTCGCACACTCTGCATGGATTATTCTCATTTAAATTGATTGAAAAAAATACGTATAAAAGGAAAATATGACGTGTGCTTTGTAAATATTAAGATGGTTCCGTGTCAAATTTAATGATTTTCAAAGCACTTTGATTAATTCTTTCATATTTAGCGCTTTTACTGGGCTGCAGCGTGGTATAGGTGCAACGAAACGCTCAAAATTGGACGTATTTGACTCTAAAAGATCGATGTACAAATGGGTTAAAACTGAAGATTGCGTGTTTCTTCGTTTTTTCCTTTCTTCTATTCATTTTTGTGTAGTTTCTTTCCACACAACTACGGCTCATAGAGATTAATATCGATGACGTCGCTTGGAAAAGGTTTTACAAATATTTGCCACATTTTAAAAATGCAAATGTTTTTAAAATGTAGTAATATTTTCATTACAAAGTGAAAAAAAGCTATATAGCTAACAAGGTATTTTATATCGACAAATTTAAGGATAGAAATAAAACCATATATTCACCAATGACAATTTGAAAAGACGAATCAAAAGCAAAAAGCAACATTCCATTTAAAAAATGAGTTACCATAACAACACCTCTTTCTCTCTCAAATTGAGAGAGAGAGAGAGTCAGATTGAGAGTCTCAATTTTCTTATTTTGATACTGTCATTATGTAATTTTACATGGAAAAAGCGTGAAAAGCGTTTTGGAGCGTTATATAACGCTTGCACCAAGTCACTGTTACTTATTTTATGCGTGGGCGTAAAGTACTGGACAAAACAGGTGTACCTACAGACCAAAAATCTACAGTTTCTATATCGTTGACCTAAGCTGAATCATGCGTTGGAGGCATTTTGAACTCAGTGAGCTATAAATTTTTCTCGGAAAGTTTACGAGCTCACACAAAACCCCACTAATATTGTAATTTTAACCATAATTTGTATCAATGTGGTTTGGTTACCATCCGTTCCACTGAATCCAATTCGACATAAAATGGGAACTTACTTCGGTCATGTTGAACCTGTTGACATCACAAAGGTCTCTGCACCCGATTTCCGTGTTCATGTACCAGCCGTTGAATGGGGCGGCCGTGAAAAGGACTCCCCCGCAGTCGAAGGCCATGTTGGAAACTGCCGGTAGCCCGTACCATTGGAGTCCCAAATCTTTGAACCATTCGTACCTGTGCAATATCAAGTAATCAGTTCACCTCTACATCACTCTTAACGTAAATTCAGGGCGGAATATTCTACACATTATCAGAGAGACCGGTTACTTAAAACAGCCAAGCATGTATGAACCCAGACACTTCGAACGTAACATTTGGGAACATAAACAGAGGGCAGCAAATACAACAACGATCGTCACATCTTGGTGCGATTATTCGCGCTAAAGGGATGCGCTTGTTGCGTGCGCTAGATGAAGGCGCTAACTGTATCTTTCTCAAGAAGCACTGCGCGCGGTACAGGTACACGAGTAGTTGGTAGAACCTGATTTAATAAATTAAAAAAGTGATAAATGAGCTCGTACTGTCATTACTCTTTGACTTCCTACTTTCGGTTTTTTTTTTTTTTTTTTTTTTTTTTTTTTTTTTCTTTTTTTTTATATAATTCCAATCGAAGCCTAAAGTCAGATAAAGCTGTGATTTTCCCAAACGGACTACTTTTCGCGAAATTACTAGTTATCTAGCTCATCCAAAAAATCACCTATTTGGTTTGAGAAAAAATGGGGTTGGATGAAAGAACAAAAGGCAGAGAAAAAGGAATATAGGAAAAATAGGAGCGAGAGCAGAAAATAGAAAAGAAAAAGAAGAAGAGAAAGCAGTGGAGTATACAATATAAACGAAAGATCAGGAAAATAGAGGACAACAGAGAGTAGGGAGAAGGAAAAAAGGGAAACTACTGAAAATGAGAATAGGATGGAAAAAACAGTCACGAGAAGGGAGGGTAAAAAAGGAAGGTAAAGAAGAGGATAAAGAAGAAGAAGAAGAAAAAAACCTGTGTCTGTATGGACAGACACGGGTTACTTCTTCTTCTTTTTTATCCTCTTCTCATGAACATTTAGAGCAAATACTTTGTTTCTGCAATGAACCAATTTTTAATAATTTTAAAAAATGGTTCAAATATTATTGAAGGGCAGTGGCGTGGCGAGCTTTCCGATAAATCAATCTATCTGCCATTTAAACCTATGGAAAAGGCTCTATAAACAGGGTGTTCGCAGCGAACACTTTGATAATCGATTCTTTACCAAAGCCTCAAATGGGGGAAAATCGATAATCGAGCATTCATGCCTCACCACCTTGAAGGGCAGTAGCTCGGACTGTTGTGACTTGCAGAGAGAACTTTATAGGTGAAAAACTCGTTTGTTGACCCATAAAATACGCCCCTGCCGTCTGACGGTTTAACCGTAGGACACCTTGTATTTTCCAGAATGTGAAAAACATCAACTTCACCACCGGGAAGTGTAAGCTGCGCGATTCCTTTTATTCGTCTCCCGATCGCTTTCACCGCAGTTCCTTATCAAGTTCGTGTTCCCTCGATTTCGCCCGCGGAAACTTCGCGAGCTCGTTCCGATAAAATATGGAAAGATGACTTCGCAAGTTGATTCATCATCGCAGGACGGGGTGGGTACAGACAAATCAGCGACTGATACATTCAAATATATGCAAGCCCCCGATCCTCCCGCGCTAAGGAACCATACAGTACAAGCATCCAAGTGTTGCCAAAGTTAATGCTGTGAAATCTTTATTTTTCTGAAAATGTATAAATATTTTTCTCTTAAATTTTCAGACATACTAAATTAGACACGCCAAGTAAAAGCGCGTCATGACAGCCGAAATACTACGATACTGATGTTGACGTGATAGCGAGGAAAGCCGTGAGTGAAAACAATCGGGAAAGCTCTAATACGTTCGTATTAGAAGCACTCAGCTGTATTTTGTGTAGGAGCGTTTTTAAGTTCCCTGCAGAACGTTAATATAGGGGGACAATAAGTTGGGATTTGATCGAAAAATGCATCGCGCTTTTATAGACATCGATTTATTGCAGTAATTTCAGATAAAAAATTGCGATTTCATCTCATAAATTAGCAATGAAATCGCGATTTTATCGACGGCGATTCATCGCAATACTATCGAACAGAAAATCGTGATAGTTGAGATAAAATTGCCGCAAGATCGAGGATGATTGACGTTGATGCTGATGATCATAGCGATTTCGTCGCTAAAAAATGGTGGATAACCGGAACTTAATTTCAAAGTATCGCGTTTTTTCGAAAATGCCACTTGGGACCATGTCTACATAGGCACTTTAAAATCGTGATAAATTGATATGAAATTTCGATTTTATCGAACACGATTTCATAGAGATAAAACAGCAGCAAGATCCGGGATAATCGCTTAGATACTGATAATCATAGCGATTTTGTCGCTAAAAAATGGTGAAAAATCGCAACTTAATTTCAAAATATCGCGAGTTCTCCGTTGAAAAATGGGACATGGGTCAATGGAGAACCACTTTATGCATCATTTTAATATCACTTATTACTAATAAAGTTCTTCAAAAGACGGGGGGTAAAGAAGGGATCTCTCGACTTCCCCAGAAATTTGATTTTTGGTATGAAATTTGGCAGCGCCCAGATGATCATACGATGTTTTACCTAAGCACGGCAGCGTGCGACCCGCGGCCCTTCACGCATGGCTAGCTAAACTTTACCGGGAGCGCTTCATCACCTTCTTCACCGAGAATTCGCGAACGTGCGGAAATTTAATTTCATAAGGCGATTAAGTCCCGTAAGTATTCAAAGTTGACACAAAGAAAAAACGGGGCAAAAACAAATGCAGTTTGGGTGCCACTGTAAAGTATTTCGCACCCTCAGGCGATGTTTATCATTCAAAGTTTACCTGTTTCGATGCCAAGTATTCTTCCCTCTAGTTTCATCCCCTTTTTTTTCCTGGCTTTTTTTTCTGTTTGAGCGAAGGAAAAACGCTGTATAAATCTTTTAACGTTGCCATATTCTTTTCAATACGAAAAGAGAATTTGCAGGTGTCTGAAATTTGATGGATTTTGTGTTTAAGTGGAAACAACTGAGTGAACTGAACTCGGGGATACACTCGGTTCATGAATTTAACAGTTATTGGAGGAGATATGACAAAATTATCTAATCTGCTAAAATACTTGTGTTTAAATGGGAAATGCAACCAGATGACGTCACGAGGCGGTGCATTTTCTCACTTTTAAATCTATTTTTATACTATTTCCCATATCAGAAAAAAATTATAAAAAATACTGTGAAATGAGCTCTTCAAGCACTTTAGATGAAGCAATAATAAATTTGCATGCAAATCCTGCTCCATTTGCCAGGAAAACTGTGAATATTTTTCTAATGATATATCAGACAATTTTGTTTGCAATTTAATCTGAAATGTCTGAAAATTTCCAGGAAAAATATGCAAAACTTTCCCTAAAAATCCGCGTTTTATACAGGGAAATTTGGCAACTTCCAAATTGTCATACTTTTTTTTTCCTTAGCACGCCGGTGTAGCTCTCTTGATTTTTCCTGCTCTTCACAAAAAAAGAAAGATAAAAAGAGTTCTTTGCGAAAATAGGGATGAGCAATATTCAGCGTAAGGGAGTCAAGTTGGGAAATTCGAGGTGCACTCCGTGAGAATTAGGCCCGGTTTCACACCGGTCCCCTCGAATAACATTCCTAGGGTTGTCCATTAAATTTGAACGATTTTTAGGGGATTTGCTCTTGAATTTATCGGGAAAGAACATCAAATTTTATGGAAAATGTATTGAATACGATGACGATTTGTAAGGAGGTTTCTTTTTGTTCATTGAAAAAGGGCCGTTGTCAGATCATTATTGAAGGAAAAAGTGAATAGGGAGAGGGAGAAGAAGAAGACAGAGAATTGGAACAGAACAAATTTCTTCTCCTCATTCTTTTACCCTCATCTTCCTCTCTCTCCTCCTATTTATCCTCTTCTTCTACCTCTCCTTTCCTTCATTCCTCTTCTTGCTTATTCCTCTTTGCCTCTTCTTCCTTTTCTTCGTCAACTTCCAATTTCTAATGCTTTCCCATTTAACATATTTTAGGAGTCCTGAAGCTACTGCACCTGAGGTTTTTCTCATTATCTTCCAAACTCCCGATGTAATGATGATGCAAGCTTAATGTGATCAAATGGAGAATTTGTAGGTGTCTGAAATTTTGTGAATTTCATCTTTAGAATGATACTGCTAGGAAAACTGAGTGCGAGGATACCCTTGGTTTCTAAATTGGACAAATATTGGAGAAAATGTGACAAAATAGCCTAATCTGCTAAAATACATATGTTTAAATGGAAAATTCCGCCAGATGACGTCAAGGGCTGCAAATTTTCTCACTTTTAAATCTATTTTTCTCCAATCTCCCATGTCAGAAAAAAATTATGAAAAATACCGCGAGCTCGACTCATTAGACACTCTCAGATGAAGCAATGCAATTTCTATGTGCAAATTCTCCATTGGTACAAGCCTCGGGTCCAAAAGACCTGACTCACTCAGAGGAAGATTCATGGAAAGCGGGGTGAAGTACTTACTTGGGGTGAGTTAAAGGAACGTTGAGGACGAGTTCGGGCGGCAGATCGAAATAATCGGGATCGTGTCCATTGGCCGAGAGCACCAGAGGAAGAATGTCCCAGTTGCACCGCTTCCCCTTCCATCCGAGTTTAGTGCACACCTGAGACACCAAACAGCTTTATTAGAATCTTGAAATGCTATTCTTCTGTTTGCATGGGTATACTTGCATCAATGGCGAGGCGTCAATGATCGATTCTCAATATCTCCGCATTTGGAGCTATGGTAAAGGATCGATTATTGAGGTGTCCGTTGTGAACACTTGTTAATCGATCCTTTTTCATTGGTTTAAAATGGCAGATCAATTTATGTATCGCATAGCATGCCACGCCACTGACCTGCACGTATTGCATCATACACTGGAAAAAAACACATTGGATCTAGAGTCCAGACTCTTAAAAACATCGACAAGAAAAAGTACTCTTGATTCAATCAGAATCTAGCTTAAATCAAGAACCAAGCCTCTCAATTTCAGCGGATTTCGTTTTGATTCAAGGAAAAATCCGATTGAATCGAGAGTATTTTTTCTTGTTAATGTTTTCAAGAGTCTGGACTCTAAATCCCATGTGTTTTTCTTCCAGTATAGTGAAGTAACAGATGTGCTAATTTAGAACATAGCCCACAATGTTTTCCGATATAGGGCTACGGAGAAAATCGGATTTTTGAGGAAATAGACCGATTCATGGCATCACTGGGCAGTGTTTACAATTTAAACTAATGTATCGTAACGGATTCACGCGCTTATTTCGTTATAGATCTCTTAATACTTGTCTGATTTGAAAACCACCGATATTTTTACTCTCAGCTCAATAGATAGTTAAATATTCAAACATAAAAATAACCCTTACCACTGACTAATTTCTCTAGGCCAAAGCTGAAAGCTTGCAAAATGATACTGTAAGAATTACAGTGACTTGGCGTAATTAGTGATTTATTGATTGATCTTACATTTAAACTGATGGAAAAGGGTTGATAAACAGGATATTTGCAACGAACACCTTAATAATAGATTCTTTACCATAGCTTCAAATGGAGAAATATCGATGCTCGATCTTTCAGGCCTCGCTACCGATATGAAACATCGTGAAAATCCATAGTTGTTGTCCTAACTTGAATTCTGAGAACGAAGCGATGACATTTAGAAAAATTAGCTATTAAACCGTATTTTCCACTCGTGTCTTTGATTCGGTATGCAATTTTTAATTTTCGATTTTTGCTTCCATTTGGCAACTAAAAAACAGTCACGTCTTCCTTTTGTAACGTTTCAAAGGCTTAATAAACAGATGAATATATTTAATGGCTCTCAATAGATTGTTCATGACAGCGGCTCTGAAGGGGACTTCATCCACTCACTGTTGAGCAAGAAGAAAAAAAAAATAAAGAAAAAGAAAACTTCCGGTACCGAGAAGATGTTGAAAAGTTGGTGAGATCAAGTTGAAATTATCTTCGGCATCTTAAGCAACCGATAGCTTCCGTATTTTTCTGCTTTTGACGTGAAAGTCGAAATATTCACGGCGAAGAAAACTTTAGAATTCACTCAAAGCATCAGCTTTGCATTCGACCGGTAGCTTGTCGACCAATCTTGACTACCACATATTCGCGATTAACAAGCAAAATTTTCGGAACCGCAGACTTTGGAACATCAACAATTGAGGCCTAACAATGAGATGAGTGATTTGTAGACGACTTATTCGCAGGCACATATGGGTCGTTTTCAGCCAAGGGACCAAAAGTTTTGTTATCACATTCTATTTTTTATCATATTAATTTATTTTTTTTCCAGGAGTTCACTAACAGGGTTGGCTCAAACATCCTCTAAACGGGAAAAGCTCGTATACATCTTAATGCTGATACGTGCAGCAAGCCATTTTAAATATTTACATTGGTTTCAGATGGAATTTGGTTCGGGAATAAGGGATTTATGTCATTCCGGCGCATTCAACTTCACTTTCTCCTTCACCATTCTCTACTTGATTTTATGCATTGAAAATTATTTTTCCCTCAAAGGTGCATTTCCTCAGTCATATAGTATGATCATTTTACAACAATTAGACATCTGGGATTGGGAGTTGAAATGATGACTAAATTTTTGACCGTCATTTCATCTTACCTTCTGACTAAGCACTGAGAAGTATCTTTGCGGACAAATTAATTTAACGTATGGAATCAAGAAGAAAGTGATGAAGTAGAAAGTGAAGTTTGTCGCCAAATTGACGAAAAGCCCAAATTTTCGCACCAAAATCCTCCTGAAACCAATGAAAATTTTGAAACGAGCTCCCTGCACGTATCAGGATTGAACTCTTCGAAGTTTTCCCGTTCAAAAGATTTGGCCCTTTAGCTGAAAACGACCCATTTGTGATATCTTTGCCTTTTGTTGTCCTCTCATTGGCTGGGTGGTATGAGCTTGGGTCGTCGATTGCCTACCTATTTGAAATCCTCCACTACACTGCTTAATGGGCTATTAGACCAGGTCTAAACTTGGAAAAACACGACATGATTCCTCTTCAAAATCTTCAGTGAAAAACGATTCACACAACGAAAAGTTCATATTCCTCCACAAAATATTAAACCAGTGTAGTAGGCTATAGTCAAATCAAGAACTTGTTCAAATGCCAAGTGAGATAGTTAATAAGCCGCCGATGGTCTGAACTCGTAGATAAAACTTCACATGTGTTTTCTTCTACATCTTACGTATAAAAAACGCATGCGACGGGAAAGTCGAAAAGTCAACTCCTGAAGGACATATTAAACAGTGACGAGCCGTGAATGATCAATTACCGATATTTCCCCATTTGAAGCTATTGTAAAGAATTGATTATTAAGATGTTTGTTGCGAACAACCTGTTTATCGGTTCTTTTCCATAGGTTGAGACGGCGGATCAATCGATAAATCGCAAAGCATGCTAACAAGTAATTAAAACACAGATTGAACGGAAGTTAGAATTTGTAAACGTAGTCACATGTATTTTTACCATTTGTCCAATGTCAATAGTTAACACTTACATCTTGTTTAGGAGTTAATGTCTAGACTTTCCGTTGAGTATTGCATTTTTCTAGTGAATGTTTTGGGAGGAAATGGTACATATACTTCTTTAATTCACACCTTGCCAAAACTTCCCTCTAAAGGTCGCACGGTTAAGGAACGAAACATCTTCAAAGCGCCTTCAACTTTCATGATACCGCCCGACCATCGATCGGGTTGAAATAGTTGTATCCTTGCGCCTGCAAACAAGTTTGAGTTTTTCCAGTTTCTCTCACATTGTCAGTGTGCCTGCTCGTGAAATTTTTACTACTACGGCTCAGGGATGAGGAGAGGGGGGGGGGGTTATGATCCTTGAAAATAGTGTACTGTCATACGAATCAGAGCTCACGGCGAAAAGTTAATGGACTTTCTGATGCCTGATTGCAAGAATTAACGTCAATGAAATTGGCTCGCGGGATGATCAAAGCTGATCGGTAATTAAATTTTAAATGACTGCGGGGGAAAAACATCACATGATTTCGCTTTAAAATACTACGCAAAAATTATTCACGCGACAAAAAGTTTGAAAATCACCTTTTGAAAGAGATAGTAACTAAGTAGTATTTTTAACACAAATAAAATGGAGGTTAGATTATACCGATGACGTTATTTGGATTGTTGCCATGTAACCAATGTTAATAATTAACATTGGTGGAATATTGTTTAGGTGTTCATTATCAGGCTTTTCGTTGTAAGATTCATTTTTCTCGTGAAATTTTAAGGAGAAAGCATGTTACATAGTGATTCAACTTATACCCGGTCTAGAGGCCATTGAAAAAAAGGCCAAGACGTAACTGCTAAATTTTTTCAAATTGAATTTGTGATGAATTGTTATTATTTTATAATTTTTGATAAATTAAATTTTGAAAAATTAAGGCTTTTTGGTGTTATTTGGGGGGGGGGGGTTAGTGCAGGTTGCATACCCCGCCCCATAAACGAATGTTTCATAATTTTCAAAAATTTCACAGCCTCGTTCATTTTCCAATATACTTCTTTCAGGAGTTTCTTCTATTTCATACCAACATGTGTCTATGAATCTTCTGGTTCTGTTTAGTAAAAATAGTCCAATTTATCTGAAATACAACAGACTCTTTTCTTTCCATCAGAAGGAGGGCTTACTGCGATTTTGAGCGAGAAGTACGGAAACACGAAAATCCCAGGGAATGAGAGCTAATAAAGGCGCGAGAACTCCAGCGCACGGTGGATCAAGTCAATTAAAGTCGGACATGAAGTTTGTAACTAAAACTGCAATTTTATATATTTATTTCGTCACATTTTAAACTTTAAGGGGGGTGCTTCATGAAGAAAATTACACGAGGAAACCAGTGGAACCACTTTTAGAACCTCAAAATCTTGTATAAACGGAGTTATAAGGGTTTAAAGTTTCCAAATGTTGTCCGAATTTTCCTAAGGACTCGTTCCATTGTGCGGCGGAGGACGCTGAAGAAATCGCCTGACACAAAAGCACAACCACATTCGACCATGAGCCATATCGACCGTGTAACGCCAAGCTTTTCGCGGCTCACGTGAAGCCGGGGATGGGGCGTTGCGCGGGCGTCGCGACGAAATCACGGAACGAGAAAATTTGGCATTTAAATGATGCAAGCTAATCGGACGCGTTTAGGCGGGACATTAGAAAGTTGACCCGATAAATAATTAGCGGCCGAGCCTCGGGCGCCCCGGGCTCCGAGCAAGGGAATGTAAATGAGTCAAACCCAATTACTTTTTGGTTATGAATTCATGATCTCGTTCTGGTCCCCGCTCCTTCACCGCCTTGCCAGACTGTGCTTTCCGAATCGCGAGGGTTGAAAACGCGTGGGATCCATTCGGACGGCGTCAAGCAGACCAGAAAAATTGACGGCGTAAGTTCAAAATCACATATCTCGTTTGCGATGTCTGAAAATCCCCTCCTCTTCGTTATTTTTTTAAAAGGGGCCAAATTGACATCATTCTCTAAAGTTTTTGCAGAATTTTCTTTGCACGGAGAAGAAGAATCACGACAGCTTTAAATAATTGCCGTTGAATAGTTTTCCGTTTAAAAAATAAAGTATAACAAGAAGTCTGCGACGTCGCAAACCGAGTATGCGATTGCCTACGCACACCGTCGATATGTGTCGGGGATACGGATTTTTGATCGATTTTCTAAACCGGAAAAATACTCATTTAAGGACCCAAGTAGCATTTTTCTAAGAAAAATTTGCGATCTTTTGAAAAAAAGTTGCGATTTTCTACGATTTTTTGGCTATAAAATCGCTAGGATCATCAATATCTAAGCGATTATACTCAATCTTGTTATACAATATTATTTCTATAAGATCGAGTTCGATAAAATTGCAATTCTATCTCAATTTATCCCGATTTTCTGTTCGATAATTTTGCGATAAATCTCCGTTTTATCGCAAATTTATGTGATGAAATCGCAGTTCATCGCAATTTGTTATCCGAATAATATTGCAACTAAGCGACGTTGATAAAATCGCGGTACAATTTCCAATCAAATCGCAATTTATCGCGATCACTGCTACTTGGGCAGAATGAGGATTCGATCGACGCGGATTCCATCAAGAAGTATGAAGATCCATTCAGCCGATTGCCATGATCTCCTGCATAGCGGTAATCAAATGCTTTAAAGGTCTCCAAATTTTAAAATTATGACCATGGTTCTTGTGGGCCGCTAAGCGGCCCTTTCGATCACTTGGCGGACCGCGTAGCAATCAATCTACCAGACAATAAATAAACGTATTATGAACTTTAGGACGTTGCCAAATCCTTGCCAATAAAAAAGAATGTTTGGAAAATTTGAGACTTTTTCACTAAAATTCCCACGAGGAGGACGGGCCGGTTAAAAACTTTTGCTAGAGCAAAAATAACAGTTTTTTCCTATAGATTATGTCTCAAAAATCACGATGAGCGCATCGGCAAACTCTGAAATGCACTTCAAACTTCACAATCTATGTAAAAAATTTACGCTTTTTTTAGCTTTCCGCTTCAAAAAGGATACCACAGCACAGGTGAAATTTTCGTCAGAGGAGTCATTCCATTCAATTCCTGCTCAACATGGCCGATGCTTCCACGCGCAAGTTGAGGAGAGCACGAGGTCAATCAAAGCGGATATCTATTAAAGCGACAAAAATGTGAATGTAAACACGCCGATTGTTATCAGGTGGTTGAATTATCGTCCCGTCACATGTGTTTTGGCGGATTGCCGTCGACTATGTTGAATATTGTGTAGTATCCTTGTGAGCAGGGGTTGGATGGAATGACTCCTCTGACGAAATTTTCACCTGTGCCATGGTATCGTTTTTGAAGCAGGAAGCTCGAAAAATGCAAATTTCTTACGCAAATTGTGAGGTAAAAAGTGCATTTCAGACTTTGCCGATGCACTCATTGTGATTTTTGAGACATTTTCTATGCATAACAACTCTTATTTTTGCTCTAGCAAAAGTTTGCAATAGTCCCATCCCATTGTAGGTTTTATCGGATTTTTATAGATTTTAGAATATAAGACCATTGGAAGAGAAAGAACTCCTAACTTTTTGCAAAAATAGACACTTCATGGGAGGAAATTTGGCAACATCAGAATGCTCACATGGTGTTCTCCTTAGCTTGCAGAGGTTTCTCATGAGAAATCTTTCGATTTTAAAAAGCTGTTCCGTTTGGCAACGGCGGTTGAAACTAGATGCTTGCTGGGGTAGTGACCGCGGGATCCTCACGCTATCTGAAGATTTGATTGCAACCACTCACTCCAGTTCCTCCGCTTACGAGCCCGAAATTCGGCACCTGTGAATTCGCCGTTTCAAATAGGAAAACCTCCCCTCAGGAAACACTGGTGAGTTATAATTTATCGGTGTGAAATCCGTACTTTGACGCTTTGAGCCGAGACAATGTTGACACAGATTTCAAAGTTCCGCGCTGAAACAAATTCTGGCAAGAAGTCTCATAATTTTCCGCCAGAAAATACAACCATTGTTGTATATAATTCGACGTTTCTTCGGCAGAGTTACATGATTTTACCCCAAAATTGACTCGGACATTTATATTTTTTAGTAGAATATAACTGCGATTTTTATAAAAGAAATCCGGCTGACTTTTCTTGTTATAGGGAGACGAATCAGGGGGTAAGAGTAGGGGTAAGTAAGATAGGGGTTTATCGATCAAGTTCGTGCGATAACGATTCAAGAATCGACCCGATGGTCCTGGTAGCCGGTAGGAGGATTTACCAGGCGCGGACGATAACTATTCGAGCTTCCAAGTGTATTTTTAGTATATACGGCCAAATGAAGGCGCTTCGGATGCGACCGCACTACCGTAGCCATTTCTGAGTGCAGATGTTGTGCTCATTTTAAGCATGCTAGCCGCTATCACGTGCGTTTTATCGCGGACTTTGTGTCTTATCATTAAGATTGAAGATACTAAACGCCAAAAATTTGTATCCAACACCTTTGCAACTGATTTCTGACTGAATCCTCGTTACCGCCTTTAGAGATTATTTTCAAAAATTTTTCCACTGTGTAGTTTTCGTCGAATTTGCTCGGAACGGCCATCGGAAATGTATTTAGTTTTCAATGGGATACTTTTATAGAATCTCAAAATATACCTAAATTGGGGGGCTTACAGGACAAGGTTCGAGAGTGCAGTTTTTAAAATAATTGAGATTGAAATATATTAGCGATTTCAACTAAATCTAGGTTTGAAATAAATTTTGTGAAAAATTTACTGGTATAATCCAATTTTTAGGCATCAAAATGTGAGTTTGAACTTTCTCTCCGCCATTAGGCTTCATATAATTTAGAGACTTTCGACACGTTTTTCTCGAAATAGCGAAAGGCTGCACTTATACACCCCGTCTTCCAAGCCCCTAAATTACAAGCGGCTTAGATCAATTTCTTGCCAACAGAGGACGTAAAAAAGCATTTTAATCCGACAATTAAAGTTTCAATCACTATACACTGTAACATACAATAGGTCTTAAGAAGCTTCTTCAGAAAAAAATTCCAGACCATCAATAATTTGGTTCTGCTTGAAATCTTTTGACTTTTTTCGACCGACTTTTGAACTTGCGCGAGACTCTTCTCGTAAAGACAGTACTGGTCAAATTTACCCAAGGCTTGCTAAAATCAAAGTTGTGTGGGTCCAGTACATACGAGCTTCAGAAAAAAGTCTACAAATAATCCTTAAAAAAAGAATCAGACGTTACTTTGATAAGAAAGAAAAAGGGGGGGGGGAATCGAATTTCAAAACCACCGAAGATACGAGAGACGTATTCGGGCCTCGGTTTTAACTTTTCTCCCGAATTTGAGCGACACCTTTTTGGCAGCATGAAGCACAGCATTCCAAGTTCACGCCTCACGCCAGTGCGCCTTCAATTTTGCAGATGCAACACGGACATTCATCAAGCACGAATAGTTGTATCTCTACGCCGTCATCAATGCGCGTCTTGTCTCTTGCTCGACTACTATTCCTATATTGTGTTTGCTTCAGTTTGCTTCACTTGTAGTGGTGCTTCAAAAGCCGCGTGGGCAACCCAGCCGAAAATCGGAGAGACGTAATTGGACCTCATTTTCAAACTTTAGTGACACCTCACAGCTCACAGCAAGAGACAAGACGCTCATTGATGACGGCGCAGAGATACAACTATTCGTGCTTGATGGATGTCCGTGTTGCATCTGTAAAATTGAAGGCGCGATGGCGCATCGCGGGTTCACGCTTCGCGCCTTTAATTGATTTCATTAAATATTTGTTGATTATTTTCTTTTTTATCAGGATTCATGATAATTTTGTAATTTTTACCTGCTTTTCTTCCTGATATCCTAGTTTTGTCCTATTTTTTCATTATTGGATGATAGCCATTTCGGGATTTGTTCTTCCGAATCTTCAGATCCTTTGGAAAGAGTGATCAATAAGAAAGAAAGGACCAAAAGATGGGAAAAACCACTTCTGAAATGGCCATCGTCCAATAATGATATAATAGGATAAAACTATAGAAGATCAGGAATAAACAGCAGGTAAAAATTTCAAAAAAATGATTCCATTAAAAGTTAAACCCGTACACGGCGAAAATGGCTATTATCTATGGCTTTATAAATCAATCGGTGGTTCATATGGAACACCACTAATAGTCGTAAACGAAGTAATGATTCTCGGTCTGTGAACCATGCTAAGGTATATATACCCTCACTAAGTTCTAAGAACTATTATTATATGTTTACTTTATTACTATTAGTGGTGTGTTCCATAAGAACCACTAATTGGTTAACAAGCCGTAGCTCTTTCACAGTGTTGTACATGTATGACACAGTTAAGACAAATGAGAAAGTAAACAATGTATTGGTGAGTACAAGACTGATGAAATAAATAAAGAAAAACGGAAGAGATATATAAGACTAAGGAGGAGTAGAAAAAGAGCCGGAAAGACGTACCTCGGTAAACTCTACGTTAGCTGGATCCCCGATAACTGTGCCGTCCGGGTTTTTGTAGCCGGCGTATGAGATTAGCTGTGGGTTCCATATTCGGAAATCGTGCTTGCCATCCGTCCTCTGGGCGAAAACTGTGATCGCTGACCTGCCAACAAAATAAACAGTGGTTTCAAATACTAATTAACTAACTAGAGAATCGCATCTTGCGGGTTTTAAAAATATAAGATAAATAATTAATTAAAATAATAATTATTTCATTCTTCACAATATGCGTGTTCTGGTATATCTTTTAATCAATATCTTCAAATAGGGGAAAGTCGAAAAACGATCATTCACGCCTCGTCACTGCCCACATTATCTGCCAAAAAAGGTGGCTGCTTTCAACGGCCGATGAAAACTACGTTACTGTTTTTTCGGACGGATAGTTGATATCGACTGATTCAAATTTGCACAAAATACGCTGATCTCACACCTATGAGTTCACTTACACCAACTCTAATACGCTTAACTTATTCTTTGTGAAGTGTTGACGAGGGAACATGTATTATCACAGCACTTTAATTCTTAGACTGGTTAATGGTCCATCGTATTATCACCCATCGCAAGAGAAAATCGAATATCGAGGTCATAGTTTTTATAAAACTGCAAGTTGTATTAACATCGTTTACCTGCGTCTTCTGACTCATAGATTTCAAAGTGATGAGTCCTAAAGGACCCTTAAAAGTTTAAGGGTTATTTTCGTTCCTTCTTAAAGGAAATAAAGTCAGTTGATTTCCATTCACGGGTAACGATTTGCGTAAAGAATTTATGTTGTACTCATTAAGCTGGCCACCGTTGTAAACGTTGATCTTTTTTCTTTCCCCGAGAAAATTGGCTCCTTTTCGCCGGAAAAAGTATCGTTCATGTTAGTTGGAGGTGTCTTCAAGGACATCTCATGTTGCCAACTTTTCCATTACATTTCATTTTTTCAAGGCAACCTGTTGGTCAAATTCCTTTGGAAATTTACCACATTTCATTACACTATGAAGAAAATAAAGTAGAAAATAAAAAAAAAATAAAAAAATCCGTTTAACATCTCCCACGTCGAGGAATGAAAAATTGAAGACAATTCGGCAACATTGGGTGGCGCTTGTGATGTTCCTCGCGGAAAGAAACGAGACGCAGTTGAAACGACATCGTAGCTTTAGAATCAACGTGGAAATTGGTGAATAGGTCGCCGAAGTCTCGTAAAAACTCCGTTAGGGGTTGTTATCCTCTTTTATCGTTGCTATTCTGACGTAAGAGCATAACTACCCGTTGAAATGAGCCCTGCCATCCGTATAATTCCAAGCTTTCCGGGGTTCAACTGAGAGTGGAGTCACGCCCTTGCATCGTTAGAGCGATGTAATGTCCGCGAAAGGGGAAAGATTGCACCGTGCCTTTGAGCGAATCGCATTGTGTTGCCATATTTACGTAGATTTTGGCTGCTGCAAAGTGGCCGAGCTTTCAAGGTGATTCAATGGCGGTCATATATTTTGTGACAGAACGACATGTGATGTATCGCATCGATTAGTCCCATAAATTCAGTTCCTTGTTATATTTTTATTGAATTTTGAGATCGCATTTCTGTTGTCACAGGACTTAGGAATTCATTTACCAAAATTTAGCGTATTCAAGGCAGGGGTTTTTTTGGAGCAGAAATAACGCATTTAATGCACTAGAGTGAGATATTTCTCATTTAAAAAATCCATTATGGTGAATTTGTCTGTCAAATTTGGTAAGTGAATTCTTCGGTCACGTGACAACAGAAATGCGATCTCGAATGATAATTAGGTGAGAACATGGGACTAATCGATGCGGTGGAAGGGTAGGGGGCATTATCTCACGCTTGCCGTCCCTAAGATCCCAACCTCCCTTAATCCTTAATCAAACAAATCCCAGGTATCCGTTGTTTGATACCATCAAACTCGGGTAACCTGGCCGGGAATCGATCTCGAAACCTCCCGATCGTAGATCAAGCGCTCACTGAGAAAAACTTCGATCATATGAACCGAATGTACGGTGTTCAATATCAGCCGTATTGCTCGATTCATACGATCGCTCTCTCGGTTCATGCAACCGAGCATTTAATCCGAACAGAACTAACGAAAAAGTTCGGTTGCATGAACCGAGGATACGGTTCTCAGAATCGAGAGACCGGTCGCATGAACTGGACAATACGACCGATACTGAACACCGCACAATCGCACATTCGGTTCATATGACAGAAACTTTTATCTTCGAAGTGGTTGTATACAACCACTACACCACAAGAATTAGAAATTCCACACTGAGAAAGAAAGTTTGGCCGTACGAACCGAATGTACGGTGTTCAATATCGGTCGTATAGTTCAGCTCATGTAACCACTCTCTTGGTTCTGGGAACCGTATCCTCGGTTCATGCAACCGAGCATTCAATTCGAACAGAACTAATGAAAAATTTCGGTTGCATGAACTGAACAATACGGCCGATATTGAGCACCGTAAACTCGGTTCATAAGACCGAAGTTTGTTTCTCAGTTTACATCCACTACACTGAAAAAAATAATATGTTGTTTAAGCACTTGGGATGTCAAAACTGTGTCCGGTGATCCTAAGATGCTGCCTTTACTGCCCCTGCAGTTAATTTTACATCCTGTAAATGCAAATTCAACTGCGTGGGCAATCAAGGCACTATCTTAGGATCACCGGGCACATTTTTAACATCCCAGGTGCTAAAACAGCATACCATTTATTTCAGTGATATACATCACAAGAATTAACGGCTCCAGAGGTAATATTGATTTTACTTTATTTGAAAAAATAAGAAGACGCGCAATCTGCAACGTCGCACATCGAGGTACGTGTTTCGCGACTTTCGCCATCAATGAGTTCATCCCTCCGCACCTGAAAAATGGCAGCCCCGAACTCGTTCTCTCTCGAATTCAACGCTCACTTCCTGTCGAGTCGTTCGGTTTACATGGACGAAACAAACAGTCCCGGCTACTGTTATGACACCATTACTCCCGCAAATAAAAACTTTTGCTGCATGCGACGAAAAGGCTAAAAAAGCTCAGGTGAAAGCACTGCCGACGTGGAGCGCGGACGGCGGCGCAGCGGAGCATCGACGCGTAGCGCTACTACGTGACAATTAATCGAGCCATTGTCCGCTGCAAGGACCCATAAAACACGCAGCTGTGCTCTTAACGGGATACCCAATGCTGCATTGCTACAGAAGAAAGCCGTATAAGCATTGCGGTGTTGCCAAATGCACTGTTAAAAACAGCCAAGTACAATCCAGGTGGTAAAACAGTTGGACCACGTTTGGTAGAGAGGAACCAAGCTTTCATCAGTTATTGCCAATTTTTTTTTTATTTATTTATTTTAAAGCTACCTTTATGGACAAAAGATTACAAAAACAGTAGACATCTAAAAAGCAGACAACAGGAAACAGTGAGTAAGAAACAGAAATAAGTAAAAGAGTTATAAAAGGAGCAAATCGATGGTGAAACTACCAAACCACGTATCTCGGTTTGCGACGTCGCAGACTTCCTGTCATAATTTATTTTGTAAATAGAAAACTACTCAACGTCAATTCGTAAAAACTTCCGTGATTTTTCCTCTTTGTGCGGAGAAAAATCTGTGAAAAGTGTAAGGAATGATATTGATTTGATCTCCTTCAAAAAAATAAAATGTGAGTGGAGATTTATAAACACCGCAAACGAGATACGTGGTCTGGTAGTTTCACCGTCGAAATGAAACTGAATATACAAAATTAGAGAAAAAGGAGAGAGATTCAGGTGACTCCACGCGGGAGTCAACGGGGCAATTTAATTTTTAACAAGAAAAACTGTGCGGATTCATTTGAAAGGTAAAGGAATTTGCTTCGCTCCATACCGTAAATTCATTGAAATTTCACAAATATCCGCACATGTACAAAATTAATTGCCCAATTAAATTTGGCAATAGCTGATGTGGCTTGGTTCCTCCTTTCTACAACATATTGCGGTCCAATTGATTAAGTTATTAACTAAGGCGCAACAGATAACTATTCGTGTTCTCCGGTGTGTTTGTTGCCTATGCGGCAAAATTGAAGGCAAACTGGAGTGGACGATTTCCGCGTAAAAAACAGAGTTTATCGGTACTATTAAAGGTAATGAAGTGCGATACGGCGCGTTTAGTAGAAAGGAACCAAGCTCCATCAGCTGTTGCCCTATTTAACGGGACAATTTAATTTTTTACGAGAGAAAGTTTGTGCGGATTCATTTGAAAATGTTAAGGAATTTGCTTGCTAAAAAAGAAAATTCACCATTTGCACGGAAATCCGCACGATCGTTTTCATGCATAAAATTAAACTGCCCAATTCAATTTGGCAATAGCTGATGTGGCTTGGTTCCTTTCTGTTTGACGCGGTCCGATTGAGGGGCTTTGAGAACAAGGCGCATAAGTGCAGTTTTCGAAAAAATTGAGATATTAATGATTTCAGGTAGGTAAAACTAGTGTTAACTCATATTTTGTGAAAAATTCGCTCCCAAATTCCAATTTTAAAGCATCAAAAGTCAGTTTAAACTCTTTTTTCCGCCATAAGGATGTATGTTATGTAATTTGGAGCCTTCAAGCACGTATTTCTCGAAATAGCAAAAACTTTATGCGCTTTGTTCTCCAAACCTCTCATATGACTCGAGTTTTTTGGTACCACATTGGGTCCAGAGTGAAATACACTCGGATTTTTTTCCCCACACACTGAGTGTTTCCTCAGATAGAATATTTATTTTTCGGAGCCCTCTATCCAGTGAACGTTAAAAGGACAGTAAAATTTAAGAGTTCAAAAAAAATCGTACTTCTTCAGAGAACATTTGGCAACGGCCGTATGCTCACACAGTCTCGACACGGCATAGTAGTTGTTCCATGATGTTTTGCCCTCTCTGAAGAGTACACCTGATATCTGTCCCATCGTTTTTTCACCCACGGTTGGGGTAAAGACAAACAATCCTTTGCAATCCCCCTCAAGTCGTACATAAATTTCGTCCTTTGTTAGGAGCACGCGTTTTATGATTCATGGTTCTTCCCGGTGGAAAATTATTTATTTTACGGCTACTTAGATGGCCGGTTTTATCCATGCATTTTTTATTCTTCTCGGCCAGGGAC